GGCGGTGAGGAAGGCCAACGATACCAGGAGAGGCCTGGCCGGATACTTCTATAGCGAGAACCTGCAGCAGGTGTTCCGAGTGGCCAAGCGACTGGAGGTCGGCATGGTCGGTGTCAACGAGGGCATCATCTCCGCGGCAGAGGCGCCATTCGGCGGGGTCAAGGAGTCCGGAGTCGGTCGAGAGGGTTCCAAGCACGGCATAGACGACTACGTGGATATCAAGTACATCTGCATGGGCAACCTCAAGTACGACTGAAGTCCAGCGGAGGAGTCCCTTCCACTGCTTTCATTTGCTGTCTTCCACTAGAATGCGATTTGTTGATTGTTTTATAATTGTTGTAGAAAAACACCGCGCTATTTTAATAAATGTGCACAAAGTCTACCTTAAGACTATGTTAAAGTAGGGCTTAGATATATCAACATGTTAAAAACGAAACATTTTATATCGGTTGACTTCCAATTTTCAAATAGCGCGCTTACCATTTATCGATAACTTCGGATGTTCAGCTATCGGCATACATTTCAGCAGGGAAATTATCGATGTCGTCTACCCGCCAAACATCGATAACACCGATGGCAACAATGGTGGTATCGAAGTTTGTCCACCTCTATTGGCTGTGCGAAAGAGACAGAGACAAAATTACAATGCCAAATGACAAAATTGTAAGTAAATTGTTGATAACAAATGGAAAAGTGCATTTTAAGTGATGACTAGAAGGATGATGTGTTTGTGCAGTGATTGTAGAGCAATTGGGCATGTTTATGTCCATAAGTGCACCTTTAAAAAGCCGGCAAACAAAGTCGGTGTCCCCGTTCGCTGGCGTTTGTTGTTGTTGCATTATATATGGCAAATATAATTAAAGACCGTTTTAGCCGGCATAAGTTCTGGATAAAATATGTGTGACATCTATTTGGATGCCCTTCCGGAGTTGTACTACCGCCCGAAGTCTTGTAATGGGGCTTAAAGTGCAGGCGGTGAAATTAGCTGGTACCATGACTTGTAGATTTTCGATTGCAGTCTAGGCGAAAAAGTGGACTGGGGGGATTTTGGGGGTTTTTAAGACAAGACCCTACCTGAAACCCAAATAAATTATTAACTACTATTGAAAAGTGAATGCGTCCGGGGAAATGCATTTAAGTGCTGCACCTGGTAAATGCGGAAATACAGAAGTGTCTGGCCAATAATACAATTTATATGTGAAGGGGTGTTGCACTGAGAGAAATATCTACACACTACATTTTCTAGAAGATTGCAAACATTTTATTTCTTTTAAAAGCATGTAAACTGTGTTCTACACTGAAAAAATATTTTAAGAAAGTGAAATTTATTGAACTTTTTTGAAAATATTTGTTATATTTACAAGAGTAGATTCCTTCCTGTTGCTAAAGCTAAAACAATATATAACTAATAAATAAAAGAAATTAACGTTATTTATGTGAATGCATCGGTTTGTATTCGTTGAGCACCTAAGATCCCAAGCAATATCGATGCATACATATATTTAGTTCTTTTTGGTGTGCTAAGTGATCTCTTTTAACTATGCACTCATTTTGGCAACGAATTGCAATTGTTTTTATTGCGATGCCAACTAAATTTCACAGTCAAGTTCGCGCCTTCATGACGTACAGTCCGAAACACTAAGCAAAAAGCCTTTCAGGCTTTGGTAGCTCATAGCTACACTTGACAACCCCCCCACCCAAGCCACCCACAACCCACTGAACCACCCACTCAACCGCCCACCCAGTGACCCGTCCAGAAAGTCCAGAAAATGGCCTGTGCACCACTGCTGCTCGAGCAATTCATCTACAAGAAGCGCAATTTCGCCTACGCCTTTGTGCGCCATCGTCTGTTTGTGTTATGCAAACAATCGGTTGGACCAGAAATTCAATTATTCACCAGCCCCCAACTAATTAACGTTTTTTTATTATTTATTATTACATTTCAGCTAATTCGCGTTCAGTCGGCGGAGGGCATCAAACGCATCGAGATCTCGCCCAAGTCGAATCTGAAGCATCTGTATGACAGCGTTCAGAATGCCCTGAAGGTGGATGGATTTGGGCTCTTCAAGGAGCGAAACTTTCTCACAGAGCTGCAGGCCAGTGGCACCCAGCTGGTGGGAACATCCTTGAAGCATGGCGACATGGTCTACTTAAAACAGATGGCTGGCACATCGTCTCGCGTGAGTTGTTTCTTAAAAGAGGATCGATCTTAGGACTAATAAGGGTATCTTAACTGATTTCAGCGCACCAGCACCACTGTCCTGGAAAGTCAGCTCTTCAAGAGCAGCAGCAACAGCAATTCAAGCAGTGCTCGTCCATCCATCAACGTGGTCGAAGATGAAGTGGACCAAACTCTGAGCAAGGCGGATGGCACCATCAAGCGGGAACGCGATAGCAAGCTGTAAGCTTTGGCTCTTAGATGTTTTAATGGTTAAATTTGAATTAAACTAAACAAACAATGTATGTTGCAGGTGCCATCACAATGCCAACGGCCGCTGTGTCCACTGCTCCGCCCTGGAGCCCTACGACGAGTCCTATCTGAAGGAGCAGAACATCAAGCACTTGTCCTTCCACTCGTACGTACGAAAGCAGACCTCTGGCATGGACCAGGGAAAGTACTTTGTCTTCGACGATATCAATTGCCGCATCAAGCCAGGATGCCGCGAGCATCCACCATGGCCCAAAGGCATCTGCTCCAAGTGCCAGCCGTCGGCCATAACGCTGAACCGTCAGACATATCGGCACGTGGATAACGTCATGTTCGAGAACACCAAGATCGTGGAGCGCTTCCTTAACTACTGGCGCACCACAGGCCACCAGCGCATGGGATATCTATATGGCACATACGAGCAGCACACTGATGTCCCGCTGGGCATTCGAGCCAAGGTGGCAGCCATCTACGAGCCGCCACAAGAGTCCACAAGGGATTCGATCAACATCCAGCCGGACGAGGGAGCCGACGATGTGGATGCAGTAGCCGCTGCGCTTGGTCTGAAGAAGGTGAGCAAATACAGCCTAAGAACATTCTTCATATTACAACCGATATTTCTTTATTCTCCAGATTGGTTGGATTTTCACTGATCTCATCACGGAAGATGCGAGTGTCGGCACTGTCAAACAGATCCGTGGCATAGAGTCGCACTTCATTACGGCCCAGGAGTGCATCACAGCCGGCGAGCTGCAGAATCGCCACCCAAATCCGTGTAAATACGCCTCCAATGGTGTCTTTGGCTCAAAGTTCGTGACAATTTGTGTGACGGGTAAGATTCTGGTTAATGTTATTTTTAACAAAGTTATTAAATTTTGTATTTTCACCCTTTAGGAGATAAAACCAAACAAGTGCACATGGAAGGCTATGCGGTCTCGGCTCAGTGCATGGCTCTGGTGCGTGACAACTGTCTGATACCCACTAAGGATGCGCCTGAGCTGGGCTACGTGCGAGAATCTACAGACAAGCAGTATGTTCCAGATGTCTTCTATAAGGTAAGTGTTCTTAAATGTCCAAAGCCTTATTTTTGTGATACAAGAGCATTCTCAAGTTCAAAAACTCTGGTCTTTATAGCAAGTTGTTAGGCTTATATATGTTCTTATGCTCCAAGAACTTTAACAATGATAATTTCCCTTGAAAATAAATTTAGATAGTGGGCAACCTTTATTGAATTACGTTCACATTTACACATACATCTTCCATATTTAGACATCAATTGAATTGAGGGGTTTATTTGGGTGGTTACAAGCAAAGAAAATCTGAGTTTTATTACCAGGCCAATTAAACATTTTACATTTAACATTAAGAGGCTTACATTCTCTAATTAGTGGTTTTAATTTATTAAACAATCGAATTTGTTTTAGGTTCCTTTCTTCTTCTTGGTTTGTACTTCTCATCATTGCTCTGGGTTCTCCTTCCGAATTTCATTTCTAATATCGTATACCTAGGTCACTAAAACACATCGATCCACATTTCTGACACATTGTTATGTTATTTTATTATATATTTAATTATTTAAATAATTAGCCCCTTGAGCAACTGCCAACCGATCACAATGATCATTCTAAAACATTTTACTACATTCTATCCGTTCTATCTAATGCATTTTTAATGTCGATATTATAAGATCTCATTTTATTTTCCTAATTCCTAAAATAAAACATGTGTCAGATATATTTGGTAACTAATTTCGTTCTTAAATGATATTTTCATTGCTAAATTAAGTTAAAATTTAATAAAATTACTACGACTTTTTTATGTGAAATACTTCAGTTTATATTCATATTCCTACTAAATTTATGTGAAAAAATTATAACAAAATTTCGAATTATTCTTACCGAGAACAAATTGTTAAATTAAAATTTAAATACTTATTCTTTTTTGTTGCTACTTTGGCTTAATATATCGACTTGATTCCCTTAATTTTTTCCGGATGGCTATTCTTGGCGTTCAATTTTTAGTCCATCACAAGCAGAGCCTTGATTATGATCACACAAAATGCATATGTAGACATCGAAAAACCATCTTATTATCTAATTTGGCTAACAGATATATACTGAATTGACCACATTTATAAATCAGTTGTTTATTTTGATTTCACCTGTTTCTTTGTTTGAATGACGAGCTTATCAAGATTTTTTAAATGGTTCCATATATAACATCTTATAATTATGAATTCGTATGGATTTTTCGCGTTTACTTTTATTGTAGCTATTTATCTAGATCCAGGTAACGTCGTAGCGCCCAAACACAATTCACGTGTTTTTTAGTTCTAACCCTACACTTAATTACTCTTAATTAATTTACCAAGGTTAGTTACAATTTCCACCTTGTCCGTTGAATTCGAAATTTTTATAGGTCATTGAAAGTCTCCCTTTTTGTTTTATAAATAGCATCCAAAACTTTTGTTCGATTTGTAAATTGTTTATAAAAATTCTTTGCCTGTTAAAAAAAAATTGTATTCTGTTATTGACTATAATTGTATGCGTTGTCAAAAAAAACGTTGTCCATATACGACGATAAGGAGTGGGGAGTTTATTTGTACAAAAAATCGTACCAAGATCAATAGACGTGTGTATACCAAGAATTGTATAGATATATCGGGGAGCGTTGTACATTTACGATTACGATTACATTTAAAGTGTGTGGGGAGCTTTTAGTTGGTGGTTTAGTGTTCAGTGTATTTTGAAGAGGACTTGGCTTTATCGGTTGGAATGGTACTCGCCGCAGTTCCGGATGATACTTCTAACTGCTGGGCGTCCCAGGGCATTGCCACTGGCCGCAATCCGGTCCACCAGTTCGATGCCCTGGACTATGTTTGCAAAGATGGCCGTAAAAGAGCGCATCTCGTTAAGGATCAGCCGGAACTGGCTGCCCACGAAGCCACTCCTGTCCTGTCGCCGCTGTCCCCTTCGCATGCCAACCGTTCCCCGATATGGCGGTAATCCCGTATCGTCCGGCAGGAAGTATCGATCCTCGAAGGCCGAGTGGCCTCCGCGTCCGTTGTGCGACTCAAAGTCGCCGGTGATGATGCTCTCGCCTCCCCAGGCCTGGAAGATGCTGCAGCCCCTATAGCCGTAGCCCCGGTCATGTCGCACCAGCGCCCCAAAGTTCTCCGCCATCCGGGGAGCGGCATCCGATCTCACCTCGATTAGTACCCGTCCGGCCAGTTGGCCTGCTATTTCCATGTCCAGAAAGTAGATGGGATAACAGTGAACGGAGGGCTGCCGGACAATGCTTACCGGGGAATAGAGAGTGCCATCCTGGTGATAGTCCTGGTTCTGCTGGCTGAAGATCTGCGGCTGCTGCTGCTGCCACCACTGCTCCTCCCAGTTGGCCCAGGAGGCATCCGGTTGGACCATTTGGTAGTATGGTTGCTGTACATACTGCTGCATCTGCCACTGCTGCTGCTCCTGCCACACCCTTTCGCGATATTGTTCCACCATCCGGAAGTGCTCCATGTCCAGAACATATGTGGTGGTCTGCTGCGGCGCCGTGGAGTTGCCTGGTAGCGAGGAGAAGGTGCTCTGACTGTTGCTATTACTGCTGCTCGGCGAGGAAGAGGAGCCAGAGCCGGAGCCGGAGGAACCATCCTCCGCTTGGCGGCTAAGTGCCCGATTCTGATCCAGTTCGACGTGCTGCATGTGAAGCCTGACCTCTGCCTCTCGCTGGCGGTGATTAAAACGCGGTGGCACCACCGCTCGTCGGGATTGCGGCAGCAACTCGGCATCCGGCGGCGGAGTCCTGGGGCGTGTGGGCATTATCAAGCGCTGCATTTCGCTCCAGTAAGCAAACACACAGTAATTGGTGAGGATGAGCGCCCGAGGTGGTTCCACATTGGCGGGAACGACCCCGGGACGGGAATCCCTGCGCAGCCGCAGGAGCCTATCGTTGAGGCGCTCGAAATCCAGGACTTGCATGCCGTTCTCCTGGACTGCAGCCCGCATCCGGCACTGAAAGTGCACCTCTGCCAACTGTCCCTCGAACTTGCGCCGCTGCTGTACCAACTGGCTGAGCAGCTGCATCATTTTGGCTCCCGTGAGACTGCCGGCGGTTCGACTCAAATCCAGTTCGGCGCGCTGATGCCAACCTACCATTTTGGCCGACACCATGGAGGGCTGGTGCTCCAAAATCACTCGCTTTATATGCAACTGAACGTGATAGCAGGCTTCGCACAGCTCGCGAAATAAAATCATTTCGCGAGTGGCCAACTCGGAGGATTGAACAACAGTGCGCTTGATCTTGGCCAGCTCCAAGGTGAGCAGCTGGCGGAGCACATCATGGTAGTCCAACTGGCGGACCATGCGATGTTCCCGATGCATTGGGACATCGGAGCAGGCGCGACATAGCAAACGCTGGCAATTGTGACACCAGGTGGAGTTCGGCATGGCATGGATGAAACAGTGCTCGGCGCTGCTGGCCAAAAAGCTGTCCACGCAGATCTCATCCAACCAGTTGTCCGAAGGGGAGTGCTTTGGTTCCTCGCTAGAAACTTCAATGGTGCCACTGCTGCTGTTCTTCTTGGAGAAATCCAACATGGCCCTGCCCAAAACCAAGGCGGGCAGCTCACGGAGCAGAAACATGATGGCCAAGGATTCAGGCAGCTTGTAGCCCTCCAACTTCGTGCAAACTCCGCACAGATAACAAATGCACTCGGTGGACTCCTGGACGGTGCTCCTGGACACGCACTCCTCACAGAAGCTATGCTGGCACACCAGCTCCTTGGGCAGCAGTCCGGTGGCCAGATCAAATGGACGACGACACAGTCCGCAGCTCAGCAGAGATTCCAGCTCCTTGGGCACCTGAATAGACGACTCCATCTTTTTCAGTACTACAAAATTAGAAAATTTGACCTAAATTATTCGGTTTTTGTGGTGAACTTGCTCCTAGGTGTTCCTACTTCTATGAATGTACTTTTATGTCTGGGAAGCTACAACACACAACTGACATTAGCCAAATCATTTTGCCAGGACTTCTATGATTAGGTTTCGATTCAGATCTCAGATTAATCTGAAGTGCTTCGGTTATTTTTGCTAAAAACCAGTTAAGTGCCTTTTAAAATTTAAATAAATTTCCTAACTGCTCCCAACCGAAGCAAAAGTAGCCCACCATAAACACTTCCAGTTTAATTTGCGGTTTACCACAAATCATCAACAGATGTCTTCAACTTTGTTTGCACTTGTGTAGCTCGTTCAGCTTATGCACAATAAATAAATAAGCCAACTAAGCGAATTTGAAAAGTTCTTGAAACATGCCCGGAAACAAGACCTTTTCACCTACTTTTAAAATATTTGTCATCTCATTATTAAGTAACTTTCCTGGATTCCTTTTATTGATTCCTGAGTTTTAATCCACAAAAAAACTTTGTAATTTTCAAATTGTTTATTCTTCGAGTTGATTGTGATTAACCTTTCACTCACATTTCGGAAGATATCATCCTACCATTTCATGTTAGTTGGTCCATAAGATTCTGACCTAATTCCTTGAAAAAGTTTTTTGCCGTGCGGCAGTTATTGGGACTTTGTTCTAAGCTGTGTAATCAAACTTTGTTTGGCCCAGGACACCCGAGAGCAGGAACCCCAATTTGAAGAGTAACAAGCGGTTTTCGGGGGTCAAGTGAAAGCGCCCATGGCAACGAACAAAAGTCTGGTCAAAAGGAAATAGCATCGAATTCGGACAAAATGTTGACCAAAAGCCAAAACTTTGTGGGCAAGTAACATGCATGTGCTATTTATGTTGGATATTTTGGCTTACGTTTCACTGTCCAAATAGCCCGGAACTAGGTTAAACAAATTAATTAATATTCAATCGAAGTAATTGCGACGGCTGCTGAGCCTGATTTTGCACAAATAATTAGTCTGATTGGGTAAAGTTAGGAACTTTAGTTCAGTTTGTTTATAGAGCGTTGGGGATGGAATATATTTAAACCTCTTCTTGTAATTTGTTTCGGAAACATTAGGAAATGTGAGAAAATTATAGGTATAACTTGTTGTCATAAAATGTTTTTTCTTTTTGATGATATATAATACATATGTATGTGCTTTTGTATCTCAGTATAAAAATGACTTTACATTTTTGTTATACCTTAAGAAAAATTGTGCATATCATAACTATAATATTTTCGAGGAATCCCATATCACATGTCAAATGAAACCCCTTCTTTTTCTGAGCAATTTGTTTGGCATGCAGAACAAATAAAAAACGGTTGGCAAACATTGTTGAGAAATGAGCTCTGAAGTGACCTTCTGTATGTCTTTTCTCTTTTTTTTTGTCATGATGTTATATGTAGTACACCTGCTCAAACTGAAGGCTTCAAACGGTTCACTTCTTTTTTTGTCCATCCCGGATTCTATTTTCTTCCATTTCATTGGACAGCAAGAAACACGTTTCTGGCATTCTTTACGCCTATTTTGTTTTCTGTTTATTATTCACTTTTGGCTGTATGTCTGACATTTACTTTCTCCACTTTCTCTACACTTCCTTCCCCCTTTTGTTCTCCAATTATGCAAATGTTTTAAGCTGTCTGCGAATTTAGCAGGCTCCCAGCAATTACAGGGGAAGTCCCTTTTTGCATATGGCGTATAAAAAATGTTGCCTACTTTTTGGGGTCTTTTTCAGGAATATGAATCTGTCTTTTTTTGACACTTTTTGCCATTGAAGCAAATGCTTAAATTGAGCAAATAAATTCCCTGACAGTCCTGGGCATAAATTCATATTTATTACAATTGTTTTGTACACCCGGAAAGTTGTGCTTAGAATGAAAAATGTACAAAATGTGCGCGAATTCGTTTGGGTAATTGTTTACAACGCCTGGAAATTAAGTCGACAATATGCCAAAGTCTATTCATGACAATTTTTGAAGATGAGACAATTGGGTGTTTTTAAAATAGGGTAAAAGAAAAGCCAGTGAAAGCCAACGAAAGACAAATGACAGATTTCTGTGGTTCTTGGTCGGTTGGTTTACCTTACTTGCTTTTGTAATAAATTAGCCGCTCGACTTCTGTCGGTATTATTCAGGCTTAAGCCACATTTGGCCACGTTTACACCTTGAACGTCTTAATTAGTGCGCCTAACAAATGTTATTGTTAAATTCCATTTGTAGAGGTAAATTCTGTAGTAGGAGTCGGTTTTCCTTTTGTTTTTCTCTGTTTTTATAAGCCTGCGTAATTGGATAAGTTTTTCTGAAACTTAGTTGCCATCAAATGTCAATTGTGGCAATTAGTGGGGATAAAGAGTGAAATGGTTGACTTTTTAAAAGGCTATTTATACACGCCACGTGGGCTAATAATCACCCGGATTAAATCTGCTTTTCATAGAGTATGAGTAATTCTGCAATTATACCCTTTTTAATAAGGATTTTGGGGGTATACTAAACAGTTTAATTTGTACATTACCAGGAAAAATGTATCTACTCTCCCTGATTTATTAATACAAATTGCCAAGCTGTGTTGCCATACATTTTTAACAGGCCTGTTGCACATTTCGATGTTTGTCGGGTTTTCACCCAAGGGATTTTCCCCTGAAATCGCCTTTTGTCTGAAAACAGGTTATATGGTCTCGTGGATGTCTACTTATTTATAACACATGTCGAAGCCTTTCGTTTAGCACATGCAATTCCCAAATGAAATTAAAAGTTTTCCACGCCCGGAAAAGCTCATGGCTTATATTTTATGCAATTGCCAGCCGCCTGAGCGAATTTTGCGGCTTAATGAATTCCCAGTAAACTTAAATGTAAATGAACTTGGTCAGTCTTATTGAAAAATACTTTATAGTGGAATCAATTCCGTGAAATAAGCACTCATATGTTCCGTGATTCAGCGTACTTGTCTCTGTAAATTATTGAGAATTTCAGATGTCTCTCAATCAATTTTCACAACTGCGTCAGCGAATTCAGGCCAAGCATTCGGCTGAAAAAAAAAAATCATAAAAAGTGGCGAAGGCAAATCTGCGAATCGATAAGCAATTTGCGGCCTGGTTTGGCCCACTTCCTTCTCCTTGGGCTCATTGTCAGTGCCATTGGACATTGGACATTGGCCTGGCTTTTCGCTTTTATGCCGGGCAATAAATTTTTATTGCGTGCCTGTGTGTCACCTTCGATGGACAGAGGATATAATGGCAGGAGGTCTCTATTCCCGGACCATGCCGCAGAAATCCCCTTTGCTAATTGCCCTAAGCGGACTAGGACTAAGGACTGAGGCCACAGGACAATAATTGGTTCCCCCGTTTTAATGGCAGTGCAAACGTGCTGAGAATTTCCCAGCCATATGGTCAAGTGTGCGATTCATTTTCATATTCGCCGGGAAGTTGGTAAGGGAGCTCTGCGGTTGATACACTTTATTTGAATAACAGCTTGGGTTAGGTTTCTTTGGGACTCGATTTCAACTTTTTACTTCCCAGGCTTACTAAATGCAGCATTTTGTAGAAAGTTAGCCCGGGCTAGAAGCAATTATAGTTGAATTAGTTATTTTTAAATTGCATTTTAATCGACAAAGCTATAACAGCTGGCTATACACCTCTCCTTTTAAATTTGATTTTAAATTTTAAATTTCAGTAATGCAGTATAAAAAAGTTCATATTGACATTTTTCAAAGAATCAATTATATTTTCGTAGCACAAGAATTTATATGAAGAGTACATATTAAAATCACAGCAGCAAGCAAATTGCTTTCCTGGATGCCGTTGAAAATAGATCAAAGAAGCTGAACAAAATGCTATGCCATTATCTTAATATGCCTTTATAAACTAGCCATTTTCACAGGGAGCTGGAAAACAAGTTCTTTCCATCAGAAATCATTTGGACAATTTAACAAACGTTGCTCATCTTTTACACGCGTTGCGAGTAGAGTTGACAAATAATTAGCATACTTTTGCGGGAAATCGACCTTTTTTGATTGATGGCCCTTGGCCCCGCTGGCCAAAAGCCTTCCGCCAGCCTTCAATCATGCAAATTAACCTTCAGCATGTCAAATCATGTGCTAATCAAAGCGAAACTTTGATGGATGCCAAATGGAATGTTTCGAATCTGTGGCGAATAAGTGTGGCTGAGGCTCTGCATCCGTTGAGATATGATAATGAATCTACTGATTTAATATGTCGTGATTGGAGAGGTCTAAGCACCTTTAAAAAACAATTTAATGCTATGTTTTATTTGTAAAAACAAGACCACAAAACAGAAACAATAACAGTGTTTAGGTTGCGAAAAATTAAATGTTGGGTATATTTAATAAATTTATTATTTTTAGTTTTGTTTTAATATTTTATAAAGTTCTAATGAGTTCTTAATTTATATTTTTATAATTATTTTAATAATTATTATTAATATTTATTTTTAAAATAATTGTTTAAAAAGCTCTTAAAACACTTGAATCTTACCATTAGATATATGTTTTATTCCTCAAAATTTGCGTTCATTACAAATATTATTTAGTATACGTTTCACTTTAAAACCCACAGGAACTTTATTGTTTTTGTTTCTTATTGTTTTATATATAGTTTGTGTTCGTTTCATAGTTTCTAACTTGAAAATGCATCAAAAAATATTTAATTGTTCGGTGTTTATTGTTCTGACATTTGTACACTTGCACTTTTGCTACTTTTGGGTGCACTTGCAGGAGGTGAAAGCTTTGAATATTTTACTTTCACTCCTTGGACTGATTTTCTTTTTGATGTTCGCTGTTTGAAGTTTGTGCTTCTGGCACGCAGAATGTTTGGGCTCCTTGTTTGCCTGCACTTCCTGTTGGGACAAGTCCCCTGGTTGCTGTTGCTGCTGCTGATGTTGCTGCTGTTGCTGTTGGTGTTGCTGCTGCTGGTGCTCGTATTGCTGCTGCTGTATCTGTTGCTGGTGCTGCTGCAGTAGCTGTTGCTGTTGCAGACGCGATTTGAACGCTGCATTGCTAAGCTGCCAGCTGCTGGAGGAGGCTCTCAGCGGCGATGGCTTCGTGTGCTGCTGCTGGTAACTGGGCGCCGCACTGGCCAATCCCGCCGAGCTCTCGGCGCTGTTCGAGGAGAGTGTCGAGGAGGCTACCGCCGTCCAGAACATGATGACCTAGCTGGCTAATGATTCTGAGCATCGGATGGGGCGACTCCTCCTTCAAACCAGGCATGTTAGCCAAAAAAAAAAAGCAAATAGCTATATAGATGGGTGTATTTTCAGAACACAAAAATAACAACCGAGGATAACGCGTGCCGTTTGACTTTCGGAGCAACTGAAAGTTGGGCTCGTCCTGCCCCGTTTCGCGATTTGTTGGCAAATGCAGCCTCGGCTCGCCAGGACGTGGGTTTTATAGTCCTGTGAGAGAGCTTGCAAAGCTCTGGGTGTCCTGGCTCTCTCCTCGTGGCTTCCAATGTCAATGTCAAGCTGTTTTTCCTCTCGCCTAACAGTCGTTTTATGCTCCACAGGGCATGCAAATATTTTTGGACTCCGGGAGCTAATTAACTTATGCATGCGATGCGTGCTATTTCATTCCAATTGAATGCACTGGCATCGAGTAGAAAGTGTTGCCATGCGGACTCCTCCGCGGTTTAAAACGCCCCCATTTTGACCAAACAGCGGACACGAAACACTGGTTAATTGCGTTTGTCGCGAAACTGAAATCATAAAGCAAAGGGGGGCGTGGAATGTCCATGTCCTGTGTCTTTTTCCACCCCCCCCTTTTTTTTTAATAATGAAATTTTAACATAGTGCTGCAGGCATTTTTGGATTCTCTAGTGAAATTGATGAAAATGCAATTTGTCATTCGCCCACGTTGTTTGCTGAAATTTTACATTAATCATGGAGTGGAAACTTTCATTTTAATTTCGCAAGATCGGAAAAACCATATATTTTAATCAACTTATGTTAATATGCATACAAAATACGTTTTTATTTCGACTAAAGCATATAAATACAATTCAATCAGGGGATTCCCGGAACAAGGTTTCATTTAAGCAGCATGCTTTCAGGCTTTTCTGGCTCACTGAGAGCTGGGCTTCTGTCTTGAGTAGTGGATCCAGGCGACCCTGATTGGGCCAAGACCGAAGACAAGTGCCGCCGGCCTTCAGGGATGTGGGCAAGGTCATTGCCGAGCTAACAGGTTGCCCACCAGCGAGCTTTTAGAGAGACAGAGACTGAAATGGGGTAACAAAAGAGAGCAAATCAGACGTCAGCAAGTGTTTTTTTTTCGCCCCCGATGTGATGTAGGTCACTGGGCCAAGACTGGCTGGGTTAATCCTAGTTAAGGCCCTAATAACCTGTTAAATTCCGCTCTTGTTTTTCCGCCCACCATCCAGGAGAAGGACCAGTACGGCAACGAGGTGCAGCGACTGGCTCGCCCCCTGCCCGTGGAGTATCTGCTGGTGGATGTGCCCGCCTCCACTCCGCTGCAACCCATTTACACCTTCACCGAGTACGACAAGCGGCAGCAATTCCCCATCGAGAACCGCTACATCGACGGCCACCTGCAGGACTTCAATGCCCTCAGCTGCTATCTGTCCGCCTGGGGTGACGAGGAGTTCCTCGAGGCCATCTCCGACTTCCACCTGCTGGTCTACCTGTACAAGATGGACATGCTGCCGCTGCGCCAGCACATGGGTCCGCTGCTGGAGGCGGTGCGCACCAAGAATCCCAACCAGGCGGAGCAGTTCAAGATCGAGGATGTGTGGAAGCTGCTCGAGTCGCTGATCCAGGCCAGTTCCGGCGGCAGTGGGTGAGTTTTCGATTATTATTCTTAATTAATAGAGTATCTTATTAAATTGTTTTTCCCTGTTTTCAGAGGAACCACCAGCTATCCCAGCGGCGGAGCATCAGCCAATGCAGGAACTGCTGGCTCGGAGGCCATGGACCTGGATGCCAACACCTGGACGTGCAACCACTGCACCTTCATCAATCGCGGCGAGCTCACGTCCTGCGAGATCTGCTCGCTACCGAGATAAGAATCCCCGACTTGAAAATTCCACGATTTACAGCAGCAGCCTAGATGAACCATTCGAAATTCCGGTGTGAAACAAACTAAAGATTCAATCATACTTACTTATAGCAGCGGCTGGAAGACATGGGTGTCCCTCGAACACACACATACACATGCACACTTAGAGGCGAATGTCGCGCATTCTCTATATGTAATCCTTGTGTAAGAATTTTATAAAATAAAACAAACAGAAGGAAGGAAAATTTAATTTATTTTTAAATAAATTTCAATTGTTGTGCACGTTTCTTGTGGTTTTCGTTTTTAATTGTAAATAAGTTGTTTTGACCTTGCCTTCAAGAATCTGTGGGCTTGGTAAAGGATTAATCACAAACATTAGAAGTATTAAATTTGCTAAAAGAATAACTCTTCTAAGCCTGTTCGCTAGGGTATATGTAAAAATAAATAAATAGGAACCTTTACAGAACACAAGAAAACTACGTCAATGATATCTAAGCGAGAGATTTTAGTCTTTATCAAAATTTCGTGTGTAATAGAACAAGTATTTCCCTTTTGGCAAAGCTAGAAAAAATTTTTACTCAAAATTCGAAAATTTAAAATATTGGACTAGCACATTTTAATAAAATGGCGCTTCGTCTTACAGCTGTTGCTTTCCGAAGGCGCGCTTCTTTATTACACGTGCCAAAGGTGAGCCAGGATAACATACGGAGAACCTGTAATAATCCCTTATCCACCCAATCCTTAGTTGCAACCACCACCGTCAACCCGCACTTTATTAGTTAGGAGTGAGTACTATATTCAGGAGAATCCATTTTAGGGCTGCTTATTTGAAGAACCATTTTCTTTGCAGAGAATCTGGTACCGTTTCTAGATGATGATCCTTGTGTGTTCTCGAAGAAGGCCGTTATGCATCATTGGGGGGTAAGTGTTTAAAGTTTAATACCCTGACACTCCTACCCAAAACTTACCATCCTTGCTATTTATCTATAACCGGAATCTGTAAGATGTTGCAAGAGGTGATATATACTTCTATGCTTACTTTAAGTGCCTCTAACAGACTTTTGGAGCAGTTCTAAGTAGGATAGACCTAGATAAGGTTATTCAGTGCAAAATATTAAATAAAATTGTAATTAGTGTACTTGTTCAAAAAAAATCGAACAAAAGGCCAATTTTATCAAACTAGCTACGCGCAAGATTCATATAGTAGATACAAAATTATAATAAGTAGAAGTGTTGGGTGTGGAAATGCACGGAAATTAAGTTGGTTGAAACTACAGAGCAAATTATTTTATGTGAAACATTTATTGTGGTATATATGTATATAGTATATATATAATTAATTATATTAATACGCTGCAACATTTAAGATGAGTTCGGTTTGAGTTTCGTGTGGGTCAAAGTCAAACAGCAAATTTTTACGCAAATTCAAGTTTACTCAATACCAACTGATGTCTGTCTTCTAGTGTGAATGAGTGTGCATGTATGTACTACGGTCTAATCAAATCTATACGTTATCTATGAATACTTTATATAATATTTAAGTTTCAATAATATATTTATACGGCATAAGAAGCTAAGGGCAACCAACTTTGGGAACAGCATTTTGAAAACTTCTCGAAATCATCCGACACGGTTTTCAATGGTTTTTGTATATAATTTTGTATTGCACAAACACTTGCAACGTAAAACATTGAATTTCTTTTTGAGATATTAATACTCCGTTTATATGCTACTGTTTTGGTTTTTTCTTATAACGACCAACACAACAACACAGTGTGCATCGGTGTATCAATAAATTGGTTCATCTTTCAACTCAGCGCTTAGGGTTCTAGTGTTAGCTTTTTGGGTCACCATTTAATGTTCAAGATCGCGCTTACGGCACATCTTCGAAATACAAATATATATAATTTATATGTATCTATTACTTGAGTTTGCCTCAACATTAACACATTGGTATCAAAGTTATATATTGCTTATTTGTTGTCTTCGCTCTGACTATCTCCCTATAATATCTGACTGTTAATTGTTGAATCATATGATTTACCTTTCGCTTAGAGGATACTCTCTAGCAAACTTTGAGTTCACACAAAAAGGGTATTGTCGCATATGTGTTTCTTAAAAAGAGTTTTCTTAGCTTTTCGCTTGCTGATCATTGATTTCCATTGAGATATCTTTGTATATCAAAAACCATGCTTTGCCTTCTGTGTGTCTAAGCCTAATTTAAAGCAAATAAATAAATTGGTTTGAAAACAAGAGTTGGATACCACTTGGTAATTTATGTACAAATCAGAATGATTGAAATAAAATGCTGCAATTACTGCACTAAAAGCATGAGTATCATACACTAGAAGTAAAAATAAAAGCCGAAGTAAATCGGATCCTTATAAAAAGTAAAATACTGTCTTATAACCGGCACTCAAATGTTTGATTAAAAATTGTACTTTACTAATTAATAAAGAATGATAATTTTATGGTTATTTAGAATCGGAGCAAACAAAATATATTTTATACATATAAGGATTTAAGAAAAAAGAAATCGACTTGGTTATTTTAATCGTCCGTCGATATCCGCTTTCCCAGTGTCAAAACTGCAAAGTGTACTACACCTGACTTCACGGGTCTGCCCCAGATATCATAGTTGATTATAGTTGATGTGCTTGCATTAAACGTAAGACTAAAACTCATTTTATACATGTTTAAGAACTAAATGATAGAAATGTAATCCAAAACCAAAATGAGCACCGGTTACAGTCTAAGAAAAAACAAAAAGTTTGGAAACTACTGATAATAAAGTGAGTTTTTATATAATCAATGTCGATATTACTAAATGTCAATCATTTACCATTACTTTTACGATTACGTGGTATCAAGTTCAAAACGAAGAGTACGTTATACAAGTACATTTTACAAAGTCTAATATGACGGTGGTTTCTAATTCAACTATAATCTAATTAGTACCATACGAATGTACGAGTATAAATATTTAATTACAGCTAATCTTACGCTAAGCATTAACAATACAATATGTTTTACAGACACTTCATTTTTTTGTGCATTATACAGGAAAAAATTATTTCGTGCAAACTACTTTCAAATTACAAATATACTTTTCCAGATGTTATATTACTCGTATTCCATTTAGTTCAAATCAAATACAACGGTTCTATTTGTAAAATTTTCTTTCACATTTCATTTATTCATTTCAATTCAATTCAAAAAGGGTTTATGCCAAGAAGTTTTTCAATAGGAAAATTACACAAAGGGTTCACATTATATTTTTGTCAGCAATTTGTTTGATTTTATTCGGTTTGGATTTAGGGTATATCGGGGATTTTGGGCTAAAAGAGTAAATACCGTTTACATGTCCTTTGTATATATCGAAAGAATTATATATTGTGTTTCAGTATATATGTTGGTGTCTAAACATCGCTACAAGTATAGAGCGAGAAATAGAGCGACAGCAGTTACATGTTACAGTTACAAGATACAGGGTGTTGTATATATAATATATCCATTTCTCGTTACAGGCTAAACAAATAATAACCATTTCGTAAAGAAATGCATATAAGCTTGGCTGTTACAATAGAACTGCATACTTTCTGATCTATGGGTACGATTCTGAGCCCAAGCCAAACTCAATTCAAAGGGTTTCATACTGGTTTGCTTATGGCCTAAAAGTTATATCGTTTATATATATGTATATGAAAACTTATTGCTATCCTTCGTATTGTTTACCAAATCGTTCAATATAATGCACTTGCTTATCGTTTATATAGTTTGTTTTTTATCTTTCCTTGACCTTCATTCCAATCTTTGGAGAAACAAATTTACAACAGTTAGTAAAAAGAGCTTTCCACCCGTCTGCGATTTTTGTTTAGTAAGGGGTCGAAACGATCTGTATGTCTGGGACCTTAATAGGCGGCAGAACCTGAAATCAAAATTCAAAACAAGGTTCTATACCATTTCTTCTTCAAATGGTTGTTTTTCGTTAAAATTCCTCGTTGCAAAAATTGTACTGATTGATTACGTGTAACAAGTATAGCCAAAAGCTGAGCTCGGTCTGCCCCTTGAAATGGTTTTGAAATCATCGGGGGTTTTAGACAAAAATAACTGAACTTTATTATCCCTAAAATTTTTATCTCCCGTTGTCACTATTGGTGTAAGAACTTTTTTCATTTCAATTAGTTGCTGGAAGACGAGTCTAAGTTATGTTTTCGATTAGGAAAGTCTTAGCAAGGCTTTCTGCTAAAATTTCGTTAGCAATTTTACTCACCTCAGTTTTTGAGTATTTACTTCACGATTTTTATTGTATTTAGCCTTAATAAAAAAAACCACGGTTGTATCAATTGAACTTGGTGTTGAATTCGTTCGTTTTAATTTGCATTCCATTTCAAAATATAGCTCAGTAGAATTGATATGTTACGAGCCAGTTAAAGTAATCATCCTTCCTTGCTATATAAGAAAACATGTTCCTTTTTAAATATATATATTGTATATATTTTTTTTTGGTTTGTTTTTATGCACTTTTTGTAGTATATTTGAATTTGTCTTGCTTAACACTTAAATTAGGTTTGAATACGACTTTTTTTGTCTTTGATTTTAGCATTTCGTTAAGCATCTGAAATGAGCAAAAGTAGCCATTCACGGTCTCTTAATAATATATTACGCATTTAAATATAATTTTAGCAATTGATAAATATATAGCCTGTTCGTATAAAGTATATCGAGAATACTTTTGTACGCATTGCTTCGAAATTATTTAACACTTGTACTTAATATTAAGCTTACCAACTAATTCTCAATAAGATAAATTAAATTAAACGTTTCTTAGAGCATTTTCAATGTGATTTATATGTTTTGTTGTTTTTATATTTCCCAGGGTTAGTCAAGGGAAATAATTGCTTTTAGTTTTTATTGTGTACGTTCGATTTTTGGTTTAAATTTTTCCTTACATTTTATTGTTGGTTGTTCACTTTTTACTTACCACTTTTTGCATTTGTTTATAAAGAATTAGTTTGTGCCTATGCACATCAATTGACTAGCTTGTTGAGAGTGTGTGGGGGTGTGTTGGTTGTATTAGTGTCGGTGTTATTCATAGCGCTTGGTTGATAAAAAAAATATAACAACGCCAAACAATAAGCAAGAAGCCAAAAAATTCCAGGTTGTCAAATAATAATACTCTAATTAAACTAGTTAAATTTGGGTATGATTTTTACCATTTTTAGGATCTAAAAACCTGATTTCTGAATTTCGCTAAAAATTTGGTCCTCATTAGTCACTCAAATCAACAATACATTATTGGATGCACTCGTAGTCGGTCATCTAAAACCATATCCAAAATGAAATCTAGTTTCTTGCGCTGTTTTCTCGTTTTTGTTGATTGGTTAAAAAGATTCTCTGGAGAATTCTTCAGCAAACCTCTTTTCACAAATTCATTTGGTTTTTTCTTGGGTAAAACTCGAAAACTCTGGGTTTTGACACCATCAAAGTGATATGCGTTGTTTTGTAGCCTTCACAACAACAGTTGATGAAATGTTTACTTTGTTTTTTCCCTGGGTTTTCCTGGGTATACCAAAAATTCTACTCTTAGTATGCAATTTGACACATTTTGAGAGACGTCTCAATATATAATTGATATATACATATAATATAGAATTTTTTGTTTTGTTTTACTAATTGAATATATCACGGTCTTGCTAAATATCATCGTATGTATATATATGTTTCTATGTATGCATGTAAATATCTATAAAGTTTTCGCCACTTGAGTTGCACGGGAGAACTTGTTTCAAAGGCTATCCTAACCCAACTACTCCAATTTCTAAAACGCCGTTCAATCCGAATCCAAATCCAAAAGGTTCCCTAGGATTGGTTTCCTTGTCGATTACATAGTATAAGTTTGTTAGGTAATTTGGTTTACGAATACTGACACTTGAATGCTGAAACACAGTTGATCTTATTGTCATATGATGTATGTGTGTATGATGTAGGTATTATGTACGTAGTTAATGCTAATGTCTTGCTAATGTGGGACTTCTGGGATCTTGAGTTGGGGTACAACTGTGACAGATGATAATCTTGGAGATTGCCGCTGTGTATATAAGGGATGTTTCTCAATTGACTACTGTACATGTTTCATCATGCGTTTTTCATAAATGTGTGTAAATAACTATTATATAGGAATAAATAACTAGGTTTTCTAAATATCTTGTATTTCAATAAGTTGGTTGTCAACCTACAAGTCAAACGAAATTATAAGATCTAATTCGCAGTGTGTAATGTTGGTATTATATTACAGCAAGTTCTTCATGTAGTTTTTGGGCCAATAAATAATGACTGAAAACCGACTATCTTGATGACGCTATACCACACGAAAACAAGTCAAAAATACAGATTCTATTTGTAAAATTTATGAAGGTTTGGGGCTGGCTGATATGCAGTGTTCTTTTTGTTTCTGTTCCCAAGAATAGAGTATTCAAATATTTTTTAGATTGACTTTATAATAGATTTTAGATTTTCGAAAGTAACTTTTTTATTTGTAATTATTATGTGGTTTTTTGGAGTTGGATTCCCTTGTAGTTTTGGATTCTTACTAAAATTCATATCAACCAACCCTCCATTTTGAGCAATTTAATTATTCTTTTTTTTATTGATATAAGCCTATGTAGGCACATAGTTTATTAACATGCCAAAAAAAAAAAATCACGAAATCAGCGAGTGGGGCATGTTCTATATCTGATTAATAAAATTTAAATTATAAAAGTCGCCCATGTCTATTACGGCCGAGGATCCATCTGCGGAGACGACGTCGATTTAGTGGTGTGACAAGACGTTTGGCCAGGCGGTTTTGGATTGTGTTATCATCTCAGTAACGGTTGGTACTCCCGTGTCACGAAATAAAACCACGAGCTACTATTCTATTAATATTGATATTCAAAAAATAGATATATGTATATGTATATATTTATAGAGAGAGCGCTATTTAAGTATGTTCGATCTGGTTACTATGTATATCAAAATTAGCAAGCTTCTACTTTGGGTATATATCTTTGGTACGAGTATGGAAAACAAAACATTTCATTGGATATAAGAGATATATTGTTGTTTATATCGAATTCAGACTGTTGCAACTGTTACAATACGAATAACTATGAAATTGCTCGACTTTTTGTCGCTCTGACTTAATGTTGAAGCATACGGAAAAGTAACCGAAAATTGTAAATTATTCTCCAAGTAGTACAATAAACATAGGCAACTATGAGAACATTTTTTGACTTCTTGCTTTTTAGGCTAATATAAATAAATGTAAAATGCAGTAATCAAATATAAATATTTTTATTTGGTTTGTTTATAAATTATGTCAATAGAACAAAACATGTGTACGTAGTAAAAAAGGAATTTTTCGTATTCTTCTTGGATTGGCAGGGTAAAATCAATCTTATGCTAAAAGCAATTGTTCTGAGATCGAGAACTGACAGAGGAGTTAAGAAAATTATAAATATTAATATTGATAAGTAAATGGCACCATAGCATGTGTGGAATGTGTTAGAGTCTTAAGCGTTAACAATAAATAAATAAATTAGTTTCTGCACATGGGTAAATGGGACTCGAGCCTCGAATTCAGCCCAGCAAATGTGAATGGAATTTTGGTTAATATGTAAAATCTTTGGTATACGAAACGATATTACATCATAATACTCACCCCTCGAGGCGAAAATCTACAGGAATTAAAAACAATTCTCCACAATCGCACACAATCGTTAACTTTTTGGTACTGGCAAATGCATCGAAATGTAATAAGTTCTACACATGGGTGAGAGGAGCAGATAAATAGAGAGAAAGACAGCACAGCACAACAACAGATACAGAGTGTGGTTTACCAGGTAAATCAAATCAAATAATACAGTATAATGTGGTCAAATATTTACAGTCAAATTAATCAAATCATAAGAAAACACAAATGTTTGCTCAACTCATGGCAAAGTTGTTTGTTGTTTTGTTCGTTGGTTTTTATTAAACACAAAAAATTACTTCAAATGTTTCATTGTTTTCCATATAATGTGTGTGTGTAATGTATATAAACTAAATATTTACATACGCAAATTATTACTTTCCAAATGATAACTAGTAACTAAAATTAAACTTTAAACATGCAAGCGATTCAAATGAGACAAATACATAACTATCCAGGAGCATCTGCTCCGGTTTTCTTCTTATTTCGATTTGTTTTTCTTGGTTTCAATGGGTGAAGTATTTGTCGAATGCAAAATCAAATGCAAATGCTACAGATAAGGGTAATTACAAAATAATATTAAGAACTAAGATTGTGCCATTTAAAACAATAAGCTACAGTAAAGTAATGTTACCTGGTTCATGAGTTGCTTGGATGGTTATGCAAATGAAATACGAATTGGAAAGAGGGTTCAAAATCTAGAAGATTAGTACACTGCCCTAAGGAGTCGTTCTCACTTAAATGTCTTATAAAATATAAAATAAGCCGCTCTAGTCCAGAGAACTTTCTGTCGGTCGAAATTATAATAATAGTAATATGCAAATGCCAAAATATTCAACAAATGTTATTGAGTTACTTGCTACAAATGGTTGAGATTGAGTGGAGACTAAACTAGTTCTAAAACTAAATCAAATAAGATTCGCACACACAAAACACAACAGAAATTTGGTTTGTTCGTTGTGGTATTTGTATTGTTTTAAGTTATATTATTAAGTACAAAGAACAGAGTTAGGGAGATAGAAGATATAGGGGGATGGGGTTTTCGAGTGTTTGTGTACGTGAGTTGGTGATGTTCGTTGGTGATTGGTTAACTCTGTTGTTGTAATCTATGCTGGGTGAATTAAATTCGAACTCAACTAAACCTCTAAAATAATAGTTTCATTTTGGGTTTCATCGCTTTAGTTGGTTAGCTTGGTTTAAACATTAATTAATAACTCTTTGTCTTGAGCAAAATGTTTTCTTTTGCAGTTTCATTCGATTACTTAATACTGCCCTTGCAGGAGTAGTTTCTCATGGATTTCAGTTGAGTTTACGGCTCCAAAAACATAAAGATTTCTTTAATTTTTAAATAATGAGCGCCATTCTTGGTTAAACGAGCGTGAGTCAACTTATAAGATTCATTCCTTGCTCTTGCTTTTCATAAATATGTATTTATATATATATTTACTTTTAGTTTTTTTATTTGTTTGTTTTAATTAGGATTAGGTTTAATGGTTTTTTTATGCACTAAAAATTATATATTAACGGCTACATTTAAACGCAATCACAATCGGTGGTTTTTAATGTGTTTTCCTTCTTTTGCTTCTCTATCGCTTCGTAATTTTTGCTTTTTGGTTTTGAATTTTGTTTTTCCTCGATTTCGCTTTGCTTTGCTTCCTTTTTTTTTGTTGTTTGTTTGTTGCTTATATTGCTTATGATTTTTTTATATGTATATATATATATTAGTTAGTATTTATTGAACTCGCCCGAGGGCTCCTTAAATATAATACTTAATTTGCCTTCCGTGTTGCGGACTACTAACTAAGCCAAACTCAAAGGAAAACCAACTTCGTATGAGAGAGTGTTTCTGTGTGGTTCTATGAATATTTATGGATGGGGGCCATGTGGATTTCGTATGGAACTACAACTAGGGGTGGTGGTGTTTCACATGAGAGTGAGTGAGTGTATGGGGTGTGGTGGAGTATGGTGTATGGTGAGTGTTTCATTCAAATTACCAAACAAAACCCGCGTCTTAGACGTACATGCCCATGCCGTACATGGTGCTCCAATCGACGCCCTGGAAGCTGGACATGTCCACGTTGGCCAGGGCGTAGTTTTGGTAGGCAGCCGCCGGATTGGCAGCAGCGGCGGCGGCGGCAGCAGCGGCATTCAGGGGATTGCCGGCCATCAAGCCCGCCTGCTGGGCGGCAGCGGCCAGGCTGTGGGCTCCAGCGGCACCGGCTCCATTCGCGGCATTGGCCGCCAGAGCGGCAGCCGCTGCCGCCGAGTGTGCCTGCGAAGCGGAGTTGGAGACGGCGTGCTGGTGGCTCTGTTGCTGCTGCTGGGCGGCGGCCACATGGGCGTTGTGGGTCTGCTGCTGGTGGTGATGCTGCTGCTGTTGCTGCTGCTGGTGATGATGGGCAGCGGCGGCCACGCTCTGCGCCTGATGGGCCTGCATCAGGGCAGCGTTGGCAGTGGCGGCGCTGGCGGGGATCGAGTAGGGTGCATACCTAAGGGAGATAACACTCTATTAGTAACGTTCTTAAATACATAGAAATTTAACTAACCTGACGCTGTGCAGCGCGGTCTGCGGATATGTGGTCAACAGCTTGCCGAAGCCCGCTTGATTGGCCATCGAGGCTGCTGCGGCGGCATTTTGTACTTGAAACGGATTCTGTGATATGAGGGCGGCCTGCTGGGCGGCGGCGGCTGCTGCCGGGGATTGCAGCAGCTGTGTGGGATTCTGGAGCATGGCCAGAGGGTTCATGGTGGCCACGCCAGCGCCGCGGCCTCCAATTAGCTGACCTGGAGCTGTGGGCAACTGTACGCCCAGGGTGCCCAACATGATGCGCTTCTGGAGGAGCTGGGCAGCCGGGGTGACCGCCTCCTTGGGCTGGGCCTTCTTGCACTCGACCTTCTTGTTCTTGATAGTGTGGAAGTGGATTTCGCAGACGCGATCAACCACATCCTCGTTCTCGAAGGTGACGAATCCGAAGCCACGGTGGCGCTTTGTCTGCTGGTCCATCAGCATGACCGTCTCCTCGACAGGGCCGAACTGGCTGAAGTAGGCCTTGACCTCCTCGGCGGAGGTGTCCTGCGAGACGCCACCCACGAAGATCTTCTTGGTCTTGTTGGCCTGACGGGGTCGGTTCTTTGGGGTGGCATGCTTGGGGTCGATCTTCTTGCCATCGAGTGTGTGAATGGGCACCTTGAGGACCTTTTCCACGGTGCAGGGTTCTTGGAATGTGATGAAACCAAAGCCGCGACTGCGCTGTAGGTGTTCAGTTTAGATTTGTGTGTGGGTGGGGAAGAAAAACAAATAGACACGGATATATTAGTTTTGGAGGGAAATCAAGTGCAAAAAAACAGAGCTTCGGTTAGAGGCGACTAAGTCTAAGTTGCAAATGTAGTTGTAGTTATATAACTAGGATTAATAATCGTAAAATGTCCTACGGAACGTTAGCAAAAGTCCAACAAAGTAAGAATCAATCAAGTCGATCGGAACTCGATCTTCCACAAGTATATAAAAATTATATTTAAAGATATATGTAAACACAGATACGGATACAGTTTAAATGCATGTATGTAGATGGCTTTATCGACTGAATTGGGCGTGGCCTTTTTACGCTTTTGCTCATCAAATTTGCATTGTTTTTTCAATGTTTTTTTTTTTATTATTTTGTGGAGTAAACACAAACAAGTTTTAATTTAAATCCAAAGAACACAAAATATGTTTCAACTAAAAACTAAAATTCTTCTAAGGATACTTTTGCTTTGTTAACAGAATACCAATATTTATACGCAAGTAGATCGATCGATATATGGTCATTTGCTAAACTGGAACATACATATATCATAGAAACATTACGAAATATATGCATTCAACGTGTTCACCATACTGATGCGGCACCCCTCTAGATCCCAGATATAAATGTAGGTACAGGAGGCATAGATATATACACGAAAACTGGAGGATACCAAAAACATTCGTTCACTCTGCCGTGATTGCGAACTCAACTCAAGGATACAAATGTATGTGGCAATTACATATGGTGTATGTGATAGTAAGGCTCTGATATATAGAAAAGTGGGAATAGTGCGGCTCAGAGCTATAAATTCAATAGCTAGTTTCAAATGTACATTGAAAACAATTTTATAAAATTTATTTCGTGAATTTTACTGTATTATATTGCAATAATTACTTTATAGTTCTAAAACGCACTGTGTCTTCAAGATAGGTTTATTAGAAAAAGTGGGAATGCTCTAGATATGCTTTCTAAAAATAATCTAAAGTCCTCTTTTTTTTGTTGCTTGTTTTTCTTGCAATTAATGTTTAAACCCGTTTTGCCATACAATTCGTTTTCTTTGGTTAGTTTTGCTTAATAATTACTTAATAGTTTTTACAAAGAATGAGTATTGAATGTGTGATATTTGTTGCTTAGTCTAATTAATTATTCTCGTACCGGTTACATATATTACAGTAATGGGGGATACAATTTTTTCTTAAGCCTAGGGCAAAGTAGAGTAAAATGGCTCAAATACATTTTATTGTACAAAATTCCAGAGAGAAATAGAGAGAAACTATAAGACTACCTACCTAAAGAGAAAAATATATAATTTCTAGTGTATTATTTAACCCTCGGGTAAATTCCATTTTTAAAGACGAGCTTTATTTATGGGTGGGGATTTTCGTGGGGTAACACAACTAGCTACATACATTTACAGGACCTAGAACATATCCTATAAGTATTGATTTATGAATTTATGCCGAATTTTGGGTGTTCTATTTACTAAGCATAATGGATTTCTTCCAATTAATGCGGTTACAAACGGCGGATTGTCAAAAACAAAAAATCAGCGACATAACAGAACACAAAAAATGTATTTTTCGATAAGTATTCGAAATACGCAACTTAAAATACATTGTTAATTTTAATGATTCGATTTGCCAAAGTAAATTAAAAAGCATTAACTAAACACATACAAACAAAATGGCGGATAATGGTTATTTATAAGGTCTAACTTTTACGGGGTCTTGTAATATGGTAATAAGTTGTAATATTGGGTAAATTATGCTAAACTAAGGTTCTTATTTATGTTACACAATCAAGTCAACAGTTGCCAGGACGATTTTCGATTCCATCTTACACTAAAATGGGAACATGGGCATTGGATAGTATATTATAGGGGGTAAAGCACGCCTCTTTCAACTATGTTCTCAATTGAGTTCTAGATTTAACAACGGTGTAAGATATGAAAGATAAACTCGTTAGTTTGATTTGCTTTTGGAGGCTTGCTTAAAATCAATGCGTGGATTTGTATTTTTGTTGAATACTTTTTTGTTTTTATTGGGTGAGAAACGCTAAAATAAACCAAGTACACAATACGGAGTACGAGTACGATTAGGAGAGTACAAGAACGAGTACATTCAATTAGAGATACGATTACAATTATGCAGTTATTATTATTGCTCAGAGTTATACGATATACGAGAGTTACGATGCGCCAGTATTGAGTAATTCAAGTACGCTAAACGTTCTCTTTTTTATACAGTAGTTAAAGTACTTGGCGATTGCTTTTTGTGGGTTCTTTTTTTTTTTTTGAATAATGTACCTAAGCCGACGCTGGTTCGTCATCCTGTGGTTTGGCATCCTGGTTATGGCTATGGTTACCTGGGCCCCAGGTATTCAGGCTGCTCTGGTTCCTTTATTGGCTTCCGGCCTTGTCCTTGACTCGAGATTCCTCACTTTTGATTGTGGTTTTATGTTTATTAAAATTATGTTATGTTTAGTAGTTCATACATTTGGTTTACTACATCATATGACTAGCTATTTAATTGACTGATCTTAGGTGCTTATGGACTACAGTATTCCCCCGATCATCGCAAGGATCGTCTTCATAAGCAAAGACAGTTGGTAAACCAGTTTTCTTCTCGCTTTGTTTGTTTCTTGTTTTTTGTATACTCTCTTCTTCTTTTTTTTTTCTTTTCAAAGAGGGGGAATGGAACAAAAGGTGTGTTTTTAGTGTGTGTGTGTATATCTTTCGGGTTCTACTGTTGAGGGGACAGGACACAACCCCGTTAGTCGATCGCGGCGAATATAACTGCCCTATCATGCAGTCGTGGCCGTCCGACTCATTCCGTAATTGCGCAATTGGCTCGGAAACAACCCCAGGTGTACGTATAGAATTTGTCCTGTGCCGAATCCTTAAACACCGAACCCGAACCCCAGAAACCCTAGTTGCGGAGCTCGCAGAACAGCTGCGCCGGAGGAACAGGACTTGAACAGGAACAATGCGGCAGCTGCTGTTTTATGGTCCTAAAGCAGCGCGCGCGCTCTTTTTCGTTGGGGAGCCACATTGTATATAATCGAATGGAAATATATGTGTATAGGTACCGCCGACTAAATGCATGTAAGATGTGTGGATAATGTCCGCTTATCAAGCGGACAAATTGCTCAAGGCATTAAGCATTTCCAAAAAGTCAATTTCCGCTGCCATAACTCTACTTTTTCGAGGGAAAACTCCTATGGCAAGATATCGATAATGTCTAAATCATTTGTCAGCACACCTTTGACGTTTCTTAGAAACAAGGTAATCCGAAAGGTAATTTTGAAAAGCATTTGTTAGCTTGTAATCCAAAAATACTAATATATCCAAGTGGAACCTGATCTAAAGCAGTAATTTATTGTATAAGACTTAGGATCCTATAATAAAATATTTATTCTATCAAATTTCTCGCTACTTTAACCGAAATCTTACGCCCCAAACTTCCCAGGAAATGGTGGCCAGCATTTTCATAAGAAAATTGATACACCCTGCATACAAATTATGACAAGGAAATTGGTTCTTAAGTTCGTGTCCCTATAAACAGTTCCGAGTGGATCAACCCCGACAAGCTGATCTACATATAAAACCTGATTAAATTAAATTTGGGTTCGGTGGTCCTTTCATTCTCTTTCTCTCCCTTCTCCTCCTCCTCCTGTTTCTTACTTTGATTCTTTTGTTTTTGGCACGTAACGCCGAAAGAACTGTAATTCTAAACCTCGGCTGGAAGGCTGGTAGAAAAGGAAAATGCAAAGAGGGCGACAAAACCTGCAGTTTTGCAGCTGTGCAAAAGGTAAATCACAAAATGGTAGCTGTAAACCCGAAAGGCAGGGGGATTATGAAGGTACATCATCATATAAAAATAGTAGACGACATATAATAGATGAAAATAGAGGATATTTCGGCTTACCTGGGTGACGGGATCCTTCATGATGAGTACATCGGTGACGGTGCCAAACATGTTGAAGTATTCCTTGAGTTTGTCCGACGATGTCTGCCAGCTGAGTCCGCCGACAAAGAGTTTGCCCGGTGCCGGATCGGAGCCACTGCCTCCGCTCAGGCTGGGTGTGGATCTGCCGGAGGAGCCGCTCTTGTTGCTGCCCCCCATGGCGGCCTGACCATTGTTTTGTCCTGCCCCAGCCGAGGCATTCACATTCTCCTTGAGCAGCGCCAATGCTGCCTGTTGGGCCTGCTCCTGTTTGGGCTGATCCTGTCCAGAGGACACGACCACCGAGTTCTGAGTCTGTTGCACCACAGCCTGTTGTTGCTGTGCTTGCTGCTGCTGCTGCTGGGCGGCACTCTTCAAGACCGCCGCTGTGGTCAAGCCACCGCCAATGGCGGCCACACCATTGTTGGCTATCGAAGCCACCAGGGCCTGGTGCAAATCCCGGTTGTGATGTGGATCAATCAAACCCGCTGCTGCGGCGGCAGCGGCTGCGGCCGCATTCTCCATGGGATTGCTGCGTGCGTAAAAGAAACTGTCAGCGGTGAGCAGGTGATCCTCCCCAGAAGTGGGTGGCGGCGGCTGGTGCAGCATGGTGGCGCCCTCCTGAAGCGCGTGCATTTCCTGCTTTATCTGAATTTTGAAGGCCGTTTGACTGACAGTTGGTCAAAAGAAAAATGAGGTTTCCCGTTTTTTTATAGCTGTTTTCCTTTGGTATATGCTTTTTTCTTTGGTTTTCTATAGCCACTTGATTATATTTCCCAGAAAATCTTGAATTTCGCCACTTGTATGGTTTCCCAAAAAAAAGTATAGACTTGTTTCCTTCTGATTTTTTTCAGTTTTCGCCACTTGCTTTGACTACGCTTCCCTTTTTTTCGGCTCTACTTTGTTGTTGCCAATGGCAATGAATTGCGTTTTATTTTTTTGTTGTTGCTCAACAAGCTCGCGAATTAATGTAAAGGGCCAAAGCCATAAATAAGTGCCCAAAACGATTTCGGAAATGTTCTAGCTGCACGACACTGAATTTATCCTGTTAATATTCTGTTTCGAGTTCTTTTTTTTTATGGTTTGCGGTTGCGACTGCGCAGTTTGAAAATTGAAATTCGAATGTTGCTGCGTCCGCTGCTTTGACTCTGCCTTCCCTCTGCCTCTGCCGGCTTCGGTTGTCAGGATTTCGGAAGCAGCGTGCGCAGGGAAACGAAAAATACCAAATGACAGCTGACTTGACAGCTGCACAGTATTTTTTTGCTACCTCTGTTAAGTTTCGACGTTTACTCTGTTAAGTAACAGCTTTTACTAACAACAATGTAGTTTGGGCGCGTAATTTGAAAAATCAAATATGTTATTAAACACATTGACCCTTTAAAATGATTTATGCCTACACCCATAAATATTGTAGATTCGAATAGGGAGTGCGTGGGAGTGTGAAAAGAGTGCAAAGTGATGTTGAGCGCGACATTTTCCACTTGAGAAATGCTGAGTTCAAAACAATTTTGAATGATTTACGATATGAATATGGAGCTATTTAGGCATTTATTGCATTATTTGACACTTCGTGATGCTGAAGACCTGAATTCTTATGGATTGACTTCTGATTATAAGCAATTAACAGCTTGTTTTTCTCAGACTACTATATCAAGCCCTAACCGCGAAAATATAGTAAGTAATTTATTGTTTCTATTCGCTTTGATATATTAAGCAAACAATTAATGACATTGAAATAAATCTTTCGTTTTTAAAAAACATTAAATTATTGCGGTTAGGGCTCGAATTTTAAAATATTCTTTGGCGGTTCTAAAAACGATTCCCGGAACGTTTCCTTACGGTTTTTGCGGCTCAATATAGTTGTCTGCAAGGATATTTTAATCTTTGAAATCCTATGCAAGACTATTATTTGGGTTCTATCCCTTAGGCATTACCTATTATAGCAATTACGGTCGTGGCATTTGTCGCCGAAGTGATATCCTGGGTAAAGATTGGTCTGACCAGGCATGATGTTGCTTACACTGCGAACTCGGCTGCTTGTGAAAATCTCGAGACCCGAAATAGTAACTTCTACCCCGTGAAATATCTAAAGGTGAGTCTAGATGCTAGTGCGACCCAGAGAGAATTATAAGAATACCTTCCCACAGTTTTTGAGGTATAATCAAAAATGCGAAGTTCCACCTGGTTTAGTTCAAGCTTATCAAGGGGACATAGCAGGACCATCATGTAAGTTATATTGCTAGTCTTATACAATTTTTACAATATATGGATTACAAATTGAGTTTAATAGTCAGAAATTCTCCCTTCTTGTCACTAGTCCTGCTTGTTTTCGGAGGCGTTGAACATTTTCATTTTCACTTTGGGTAATTCAAAATGTGTTTGCCTTTCAGTTGACAAGAAGCAAAAACAACCCCATGGGAAAATGGCAGGACCTGCTGCCGTGAGTGCATCTGCGTCGGCTTCTTCCGCTTAAAGTGCTGGGAATGTTGAAAGGAGGATTAAAGGAATCCTATCCTATCCTGTCTTCCACAGTTAAAAAGGAACAGGATAAGAAAAAAAAATAAATAAAAAGAATATGGATTGGAGGTCAAATCTGTGGTGAAATCGGACATCAAATTGGCCGGACTTCCGCGATTGCTTGGTATGGATTCGAGGGTTCGGATCGACTAAGCTCGGCCCGAGACCTCCAATCTATATGGATAGCAATTGCAACACCATTGCTGGCCCTAAGGAAATTGAACACCAGTGCTAACCTGTTTATAGAAAATATGGGTAGGAAACCATAAAAACGAAGTAGTTCAACGAGATGGAATCGAATGTTTTCGTTGCAGGATCATTCTGGGTATTATTATAATGTTAATATATCATAACGACATAGAAAGCTAAGCCAATGGCGCATTTATTTCACAGAAATTATCTCTCTAAATTTAAAAACATAGTGAACAAGAAAATAAAAAAATTCACCCCACTTTAAAGCTACTTAAGTAGCAGCGTTTTATTTATATAACTCTTATAATAAAATAGTTATCCTTCCTCGACTTTTATGTCTATCTCAAACAATGCTAATCCATCCCACAGGTTCTTCCCATTTTGGTCATAAGTGTAGTTGGTTTGTTCCTCAAAGTTGGTGCCATGATCAGGCTGGGTCTGACCAAGGATGATGTCTGGTTTACCAAGGACTCGGCGCATTACGAGTTTTTTGAATCGCGCCAAGGACCTTGGTATAAACCAAAGAGCCGCAAGGTCAGTGTCCTACCTATCGTCGTTGTCGGTTACTCTCTATTTAATATTTATAATTTATTTATAATTTTCTACAGTGGGGTGGCCGTAGTGACTATGAAATGCCACCCGGGGCAATCTTGGCCAGACAAGGCGATGTCAATGGACCATCATGTAAGTGATAGTTCCAATTTAAAGAAGAGATTCGAGCTATATATATAGTAAAATTCGATTTACTAAAAAACATTTATCTATGTGGTTACTTTGTTCATATTCCAATGTTCATATTTCAGAAATTTTGTATGATCCTTACTTTTTTTGTTGTAAAAATTTTTAACGCTTCCCAGAATTTGTCCTTAAGTTCATTAATGCCCATTTTATTCAGGCCTTAGTATTCCATTATTTATATTCGATTCTGCCACTATATCGTTTATCCTTTTTTGTCACCTTGCCAAGTTGTATGGTCTGGGATGCGTTGAAAATTTTCACGACCATCATGGACAGTACCAACTAATGAAAATGAAAATTTTCCATGCATTCCAGATTCGGGGGGCGGTGAAAAGAAAGGTGATGACGGTATGAGCGGTAAAGAAATTGCAGCACATGCACTTGTCACTGGTGTAGCTCTGGGATTGGCAGCAATGTTATAAAAAGTCATAGGACGAAGCAGATTATATTCAAAATTATAGGACGATGCTCTCTTACTTCCATTTAAAGACTCATATATTTAACTGATTGCGACCTGTATCCGACAGTTGAGAAGGATGACAAAAAAAAGAAGTAAACTTCGCCTGGATTAGAGGTGGTCAGATTAGCATAGAAGCTATGTACTTCATAGATCTGACCATACAGCTACCATCCTGCCGGCTGGCTCTAAGGTTCCGGATACGCTAAGAAAAATTCCCTACAATAGCTGATAAACGAGTTTTTAAACATGGTATGTTTTTACAGCTGCACAGGAATTTTATTGATTTTAATCCTTCCTTAGGAAGACTTTCCATCATTATAGCGAGACTTCCGAGTGCATTACAACAAAATTTTAAATTGGCAAGGAGAAGGTCGTGCTTTTCTATTTATTCGTGAACAATTATATTCAAGTATATTTATAATACGTATGCATAAACTACTGAATTAAAAAAAATCTCTTGTTCAATAGTCCTTTTCTGAGTGTAACTACACGGTTTTATTTGGAGCGACATCTAGCGGCTACCAAACAAATGCAATGGTGGCGCCCTGCAGCGGTGGGTATTGGTATGTAAAAAGGTCCTTGGTGTAGAATTCATATTTAAATAGTCCAAGCAGTGCAGAGAAAGGTGAAAGGGAAAGAAGAAGAAAAGGGTTGAAAGGATGTTGCTATGCAGAATAGGGGTCAAAGAGAAAGATGTGGTTGTTACCAGATCGGGAAAAGTAAGACTCATATTCATGGTAGAGGAAGAACACTTGGCGCATTAATTCAAAAATATTGAATATTCTTGAGCCGGGTAGATTGTGAGTATGATCCCCAATATAATATATATAATATAAATAATTCTAATTGTAATTTTTTGATAATTAAAAATTAAATTTAATCAATGTTTTTTTATGTTCCAATAAGTTAATTTTTTTCTATCAAAAAAAAAAAAAAACAAAGTTAAAAAAAGCAAAAGTTGATATACAAAACGAAACTATTCTAGAAAGATTATAAAGAAAAGAAAAAAATTTAGTTCTATAAGAAAAATATGGTGTTGAAACTAAGAAAGCCCTTCAGGCTAGCAATGGTATATAGATGGCAGCTCAACGACAAACGGTTGTAACTAAGTAAAACAACATAAATAACTCGCTTAAATATGAATATGTTTTGATAATGCCCTTAGCAAATTGCTGTACCTTTTGTGTGGACATCCCCTGCACGTCCTGCCCTTCTTCCATTCGGATATAAGCTCATTTTCCAGGGCGCCTGCGCCCTGCACAAAATCCCAAAAAAGAGGAGAGTTTGGACGGTAAGAAAAATCCCGAAATAAAAAATTGGTCGCTGCTTGGGACAATTTTCAGTCTTAAATTGGGACCATATTTTTTTTATGTGCCAAATGGAACGCATGTGTGTGTGGGCAAAAACAAATCGTGACTGCGTTATGTGCGTTATTGATTTTTGTCCCAGGAAATGGGAAATAATGCCAAAGGATATGAAATTTATTAAAATAGATTGCGAAATAATTCAATGAAGATGTTGAAAAGCAAGCTTTCAGGGCCGGGGCGGTGGGGGTGGTATTTTCGGGTGGGGTTTCCCCTGCACGTGTGTGGTTGTGTGGTTTTCCTCCATCGGTTGTTGAACTTTACGAAGCGACGTCGTCTGCAGGATTTTTTGCCGTGTGAAAGACGTCTGTCAATTTTATGGCTACTGACCCAGAAAAATGGAATGCTAAAGAAGCCCTTTTTGATGGTGAGAGAGGGGGTCACGAATAAGCAAGGATTTGCTGAAAGTTGTGTGGGAAAACCCAAAACCCGAAAATGATGATGGCGATGACATCAGCAGTCGTCACCGCGACATGTAATTCGATTAGGCGCACTTAACGTCCCCACTCTTCATATGGAAACCCCTACCGTTCTCATCCCATGCCACGCATTTTAATTGCGTCAAATAAACAGCAGGGAAGGTGCTTGGTCACGAGCCATCATCCAACTTTTTATGGCCTCCCCTCGGACTGATGGCGTACACATTAAATTAAGCACTTAAGGTGACTTGATATATTTAAGGACTTTGTTCAAGACGTAACACACCATGGAACTAATAAGAAACTAGTTTGTTGGATAAGCAACGTATATGAGTACTTAAAATGTTATATGACTACTATGACATATAAGAAATTATCAAAAATAATTGTACATGAGTGCTTTTTGTTATGATAAGCCCATTTCTAGAAAATATTAGACGTTACTTGAGTTGTACCTAAAATATGGCTCAAGATTCTAGTAGGGGTTTACCAAGAAGATAATTTTGGATTAATTTCAATCCGAATAATTAATAATAACACATGTAAATAAACAAATTGAGAAGATATGGAACCTTTACAATTTCAAAATGGTTTTCAACAATTTATCAAATTACAGAAACCACCTCACCTAAAAGCCCATAAATTGCATCCTTTGACATAATATTTTATGCAGCACCTGAAATCACCAATCTATTCCCAAACTGTCCTTTAACGACTCCCCCGCTCAAAGCAGCTTGTCAGGACAAAGTACTTTCTAATCCGCACCGGCTATCCGATGACAAACTGCAATCTGAAAATAACTCAATCCACAGAACTCTGGTCGTCTGAGTGTTTTCCCCAGGGCCGAAAATTGCAATGCAATTTACCCAATCCGTTGCCAGAAACAACAATAACAATTGGGGGGGGACAAAAAAAACAACATGAGAAAGACCAAAAACAAATTGCTCGGCTGTGCTCTTCAAAAGCCTCCAACAATTTCCCACTCCCTCACCTGTCGTTTGTCGTTTGTCCTTTGCCCTGCATTTTCCCACCCACCCAAGTGCATAAAATTTATGTAGACACAAAATTGCAGTTCAGCTGAAAAACGAAGGAGAGAGAGAAAGCTGGCATTTCATTGAGAAAAATGCCACAAAATACAAAATGAAAATGCGATGGACGACAACTCTTTTTCGAGCTAAAAGCATATGGCGCAACTTTATTGTTTTTACATTTGATTTTTCCAAAACGAGTGGTGGGGGCGTGGGGTTTGGAAGTGAAAAGCACTTGCACTGGGCAAAGTGCAGAGGGCCTCGGCAAACGCCGCATAAACTTGGGCTCTGGGAAAAAGTCTATATATCATATATGTGCGATTTAAGGGGGGGTTGGCTTGCCTTTCGTTTCGTTTTTTGAGAACTGGAAGCCAGCGAAGCTGACTGGAAGTAACCACCCTCGGAAAAGAAGCGCCGGTCCGAAGTTACACCGAGCAAAAATCTGCTCTAGAAACACCCATTTCCACCGGCGGGACATAAATCCCGCTGTGAGACAGAGAAAGAGACGGAGGGATAGAGAGAGAAAGAGAGAGAGAGAGACGACTGGAACAGAGCAACCCCCTGAAATCGGGGGAGATATTTTGCAATTGGAATGCGCGCGCAACCCTCGAAAGCCGACGAAAATCGAGACGATGGTGGCCGCTACCCTGGGCTGCCTTTCAGTCAACTTTGGGTTTCCGTACGTGCAATTTCTCCCGGACCGATGACGGATCACACGGACCTCGAAAGCGGGCCAGAAACTAACCCAAATCCCTTTTGGATAGCCCCCACCTACATACTAAAAAAAAGAAAAGAGAGCCCCCTTCCCGCACCATCAATGTGTTTCAGCTAGTGAATAAAGTGATTATGATTAAATATTATACAGAAACTGAAAGATCCGAAAGAGGGATCCCAAGTATATATATCCACGAAATCGGACGCTTGCCATTGATATTGTCCTGTCACAGCAGTATTGTAACACTATATTATAGCTTACTGCTGGGTCGGGGCATTAACATTGTTGAGCGTCATTAGCAACGAGAGGCGACGGCGGCAAGGAAAACCCGAGGAAAACGCACCAAGCTTTCTTTTCCGGCTTTGTGGAAAACACACTCACTCGCGCCCACACACACACTCTCGCACACACAGTGCGATTGTGTGTGTATATGAGCAACCGGAAAAATCAATTTTCCATTTTTAATTCAAAGCTCACACAGTACAGGACACTCGCACACACGCACACAACGCACGTGCATGTATACACACAGATACAGATATATATATATATATCTGAGTCTATGTGTGTGTGTGTGTATCGGGCCAGAAAGGGATAAGCAGGATGCTGCAAATTCTGCAGGGCGAGCGAGAGGATAGAGAGTGAGAAAGGGACAGAGACAGCCAAAGAGAGAGCGAAGAGAGAGATTCCGCACATAGGGATAAATCCCACTTTCTATATAGACAAAAACTGAGAAACTTAATCAAAATCAGTTAAGGAATATTACGAAAAATTATAGTTATTAGTTGATGAAGTAGGCAGACGGTTTATCTTAAGAACTACCAACTCTTTTCATAAAAATTTCACAAATAGAAGGCCAAAAAAAGAGGCAGCGACCACTCCCTGATTTTTCTCACTTTCCGTGGGAGTTTCTGGGTGGGCTTAAGAAAGGCATTAAGGGGGATGCAGAGGCGTTCCCTCCTATTATTTTTTCCTTTTTGCACTGAAAATTGTTGCCAACCCGAAAAGCCGGAAAAGTTCTGGGAAATGCCCAAAAGTTGCACCAGAAGCAGCACCAAGCAGAGCATCCTCATCATCATCGTTAACAACCCCTAAATATAATCCCAATGCATTATCTGGGCAGAGGGGCCTGCATTGGAATACCAAACAGCAAATAACAAAAAAAAAATCGAAAAAGATGACAAAGAATGATGATGAATTGGTAGATTGAGGGCACAGCAGCCGAACAGGGACAGCAGCTGAAAAATGGAATTTAAATGCAGTTCAAAAGGATTTGGATGGGGGGAACCTGAGAATTCCTCGCTAAGGGTTGCTCTCCCTCTTTCTCTCTGCGAAATCTCACGTTTCTGCAGTTTGATGACGATGATAACAATGGCCTAGCTATAGGATTAGTCCACATAGAGGGGGTGCGGGGGGTGCGATTCGAAATTTGCCGGCCTACCATGCACATGCTGTTGCTATATCAAGGATCGAAGCCTTTTTGGGCGTTTCTCGGTTTCTCGCCAGCTGCGGCTGTATGCGTGTGTATCTGTGTCCAATGTCCTGTGTGTACTTTGCCTAAATACTTCGAAATTAACCAAGCGTTTGTTGTGCCCAACAGATTGACAACGCTTAGCTTTGCTTGAGGTAGCCAAATCGTTTCCACATTCAAAGAGGGTGCTGCATCCTTGTGCCATGATTAAGGATTAAGGGTTGCTCTGCATTTAATATGCACCGGCGGAAGTGAAGTGCTCTCCGTTTGAAATGAAAATGTCGCCGTTGACATGCAAGCAATGAGTTGGAATACTTAATGCGAAGAGGATTACTCATCTGCATTTCGCAACATTTCACAGGGATTTACTAACGGTTGCAAAATGTCTCAATTGATTTTATTTGTTGCTTTATGGAATATTCGAATTGTAAATTACTTTTGTAAAATTATTTAAAAAGCCTATGAAAAAATTCGTTCTTTTTTATTTAAAATGAAATTTAATTGTTGCGAATACTATATACTAATAATTCATTTATAAAATTATTTTGAAATCCTATGAAAATAATAAGTTTTCCTTTATTTAATATGTAATAATAAGTTAAAAATCAGAACAAATATAATATTAAAGAATTTGCAAGATTTTCTTATAAAAAGATGAAGAAGATTTCAAAAAATGTAAAAAAGTTGTATATGTCGTTATAATAATATGAATTATCTTAAATGAAAAAAAACAGATCAAATATTTTATCACAACAATAAAAAATATACAGCTGTTATACTAAAAAAAATGTTATATACATCATTGAATGATAAACAAGGACATTTTCAACACCTAAATACCCATGTCCAAAACTTGATGTCTATATCAACCGTAAATACTACCTATATCAGCTAACAACCTACATTTGAGGAACCGACCATCAACCTTTTAAATGATTAATTGCCAAAACAATACAACAAAAACAGGGACAAGTCTCTGGTACAATCAAATGAACGGAAGCTGGTGATAAAAAGTGCGGAAATTACGTTGACCTAAAAATAAAATTGCCAACCAAGTTTGCCGGCATTGCCACCTAGACACACACACACACATATATAGAAAAGGACGGGAAAATAGAAAGAGAGAGGGAAAGGGATACAGAGAGAGACGGCAGGATACGCACTTGCACTCATGCACTTCAAATATGATGAAAAGGTAAACGTTCAACTCACACAAACGCAAAGGACATCAAGAGACCCCACGTAAATGGCAGAGGATTTGGCAAGGATAAGGAGGATATATATGTGTGGGCAAGGCAAGAGTCCTTTCGAGGCTGGCTGTGCATGTAAATGCGTGGAAGAGCTGAAGAGCTGGGTTAAGGTAAGTGGTTCCCCGTAACCACCGACGACGACGACTAGTCCTCCATCCACAGTCATATGCAAATTGTCGGTGCTTTTGTGAGCTTATTAAGTGCTTGAAAGTGCATTACAAAAAATACACTAGGGGGGCTAGATGGAATGGGGGATCAAGGACCTGCAGCCGGAAAAATGCTTTCAAGTCAACCCACTCGGAAATGAGAACCCGGCGACTGCTGCTCCCTTTTCTCGCTCTCTTACACAGAATGACAGAATCGAAATGAGCAACTACACGGCGAGAAATTGTATTTCTGATTTGAATGATAGGTATTTGTTTTCTATTATTTGAAAACTATTTAATACTTCAACATTGGTAGACCACAAGTTAAATAAATGTATAATCTGGCCGTCGGTAGCAACGAAGGACCTAAAGTTAACTTGCAGCACTTTCAACTATATTATATTATAGTGTATATATAATAACATGTTTAACGAAATATAAAAAAGGTTACAACATTAAAAATAAACAACATGGCTCTCAAACTATCCAAATTTGTTTTAAATTTTGAACATTCGGCAGAAGATTTCTTTCCCTGTAACTGGCAAAACAAAGCTTTGTCTAAACACATGTATTGCTTACAAAAGTTGTCCTGCTTTTGGTGTAATTTTGCTAATTAAAAGGTGTGACAAACGTGGGGCCAGCGCCCCATAAAAAGTTTCAAATTACCAAAAGCATCCTTCAACAAGTATGTGGCAAGGACAGTTGGCCAGGAGTTGCAGACCACAGAACCCAGATTCTTGCTCATTTGCATACAATATCGTCCCAGGTGAAAGCCAAGAACGGAAGTCCTTCTGGGAGAAGCAAGGGTGAAGGAGCTTGTGAAGATGCCACTTGAGGTTAGCAGACAAGCCAGACATCGCAGGCAAGTGGCCACTTTGCCGTCTAAAGGACTCTGTAGGGCCGGAAATTCCTCTTGGCTTTCTGTTCTTTGAGGGAAATCACCAAACAGGATGCTTGTAAATAGAAGCAGTTAGCTAAGGACCGAAAGGATCAGAAAGTCTTAAGCGGAAATCTAGCAATTGACATAATTAAAACTAAAAGTTAATATATAACCATCCGGCGGAAATTAATGCTTGCAAATAAAGTATCTTTAAGAAAAAACAAGTTCTTTAAAAAAACAGTACATCTGTTTGTCATTAGCGAATCCAGGATGCGTTTGTGAACAGATGTTTGAAAACAAATTTTTTGTAGCATACTTATTTGACACAACATTTGTTATAAAAAATAATATTATAACGAAAATTTAAACCTCCTTAGCTAAGCGCAATTCGAGCTCAGGGCCGCATATTTCACAGCCGTTTGTTTTGACCCCTGACCCATAGTCCCTCAATTTTATCCAACAGCAAGTTGTAAACTTGACAAGCTGCGCTTTGGCAGCGCCTTCTTCAAATTCGCCGAACACAACGAAAGCTTCGAAAGCTCCTATAAAAGCACACATCCTTTGCATAAAGAACCAGGACATCCAAAAAATCAGAGTCTGAAACCTTTTTTAAAAGCTCTTGAATAAAGCTTTGCTATCCGTAAACGGATAAAGGATATTATAGGATACATTTTAACAGGGAGTTTACAGAGCGGTACTGTCAATTTGACAGGATGGGCAGAAAAGATAGAGGTTAAAGGTGGTTGCTGCCCAGTCCAAAAACTACGATTCATCTTCATGGAGGATGAAGAGGTTGGTGCTACCAGATTGGACAAATAATAACTTGATATTCATGGAAGAAGAAAAACGCATGGGGGACTCAATAATTTGAAAAATTGTGAACTTGCTTCTGGCTATATAATAAACGAAAAAAAGGTAAGGACGACCGTAGTCATTTAAAAGAGATGGTTGGTATTTTGGTGAAAGATATCTTAGTAGCCTTACATTTTATACATTGGTATGTCGCAAAAATTTGTAAAAAACATTTGGGCAAGCACAATCGACTTGGCTAGTGATCCTGATCAAAAAAATATGCAATTTATAGGGTCGGAAACGCTTCCTTCTACCTGTTACATACTTTCCAACGTATACAGTATACACTTTTTTTCTAGGAGTAACGGGTAAAAAAATTAATTAGAATTTCCAAAAAGTGATCACTGATCTGAAATCAATAGAGATACTTGTAAAAAATTATAAATTTTTAATTGAAAATGCAAATAAAATGTATCCGGGGGTTTCCTTAAGCATAAGGAGCCACCATAGTTCTAATAACGATTTTGAAGAGATGCTACTTCCTTTGCCAGTCATCAAATATGATGTCAACAATCTCACTCAGCCCTAACTGATGTAACAAATTCGTTTATGCGCTCATTGTTTACCCACAACGGCTAGAAAGCCACAAAGGCATATATACAGGCTATAAAGAAAATAAGGCTGAGTCAGCAGCTTTTGAGGCGACGCATCCTGCTTATGTTCGCAGGATGCAGTGCGACAAGTGCCACTTGAGAAAATGCTTCTTTTTTTTTGTAAGTAAGCTGCTGGGGAAGGATATGCCCGCCTACATGAAGGGTGCACACTCGTCTGGTAAATGCTGACACCAAAGACCGGCTCAAGTATTTTGCGGGCAAATAGTCCAGAGGACGGGACACTACACGCCCGTCCTACACACTCACACACATCCTCCTCAACCAGTCTGAATATCCTTGTAATAAAAGTCACTCGAGTGACATTTTTGAGCTTGCGGCCATAAAGTAAAAGGCAAACAAAGCTCAGACTGCCGGAGTTCCTTTTCCAGTCGCTGTTTTTAATCGATTATTGTCGCGTTATTGTTTTTTATACCCCATCCCTGGAATATGGCAAACAAATCCTGTCTGAGTGTCGCATTGCAACAACAACAATGGGGTGCGTTGGCACAAAAAATGCAAATGCAGAAATCCGAACACAAAAGATTGTACATTGAACTTGTGCTGTATCACCATCTCATCGCTGCGGAGAGGAAGTGATTTCGCGGGGACGAATTGAAATGTCCCCGCATGTGACATCATATTCAATATACCCCTTACATAATCCCGATAAGAGCGGGGTCTGAGATATGGTTACCTTCGTTTATCTTTCCCGGCTGCCTGAGGGGTTCGTTCTTTTTTTTTTTTGATTCTACCCTACAACACGCTTTTCTCGTTGTTTTCGTCACGTTTTGCGATCGGCGATAAACCCAAAGGAAAACAGCCATGTCCTACAGCAGGTCCTCATCCTTCGTCGTCAGCGTTCCTTATTTCCAGGCAAGAAATGCACGCGCCGGATGTCGTTAAAATGGCGACCACCACTTCCGGTGGGCGGAATTCGCGGAAATATGTGAACTTACCTGCAAAGTAAACAAAAACAAATGTGCAAATTTTCGATTAGTATGTTTTTGCCACAGGCTTAGGTATATTTTATATGTGGGATATGGCAATTGCGAGATTGAGATACTTGGTGTATTAAATATTAAATAAAAATTGGCACGGATAAATAGAGACTTGTAAGAATGAGATAAATGTAATTAAATATTTCAAAGGTAACCGAAACATTTTTATAAAATGGATAGATTTCCCGCCTCGAACAACTTTCAGTTATAAATCATGAAAATCTCACAATCATGACTTGCAAAAGAGAAAGTATAATCGAGCATCGATATTTTCGGTTACCCTTATGTGATTGCGGTTTCAGTTAAGCTTAAAAAGCTCGTAAAACTGCAGAAGGTAAGAAAATTAACCATTAAACTTAACTTTAAAATCAAAATGGGTTTAAAGCTTTTCCTCAAAAATGTCCGAGTACATATTTATGTTATTTAACAACAATTTAACATGTCTTGAAGCCCGAATATTGACCTATCCCAAAAAAGATTTAGTTCCCGTCATCGCGTGCTAAATGGTAAGAAACTTGGGTCACTGGCACAGATTCCCCTCGAGTTTCCCGTCTTCCCCCTTTTACATCCACTCACTTCCAGAACTTTTGTTGACCCAACAGATTAGCAGCTAATGGGAGAGCACTCTCACAGTAATTCCCGCCAACTCAGGCATTAACAATTACCTCTCGTTAGGAAGAAATCAATGAAGATGAGAGTGAGAAAAAGTGTGAAGTTCTGCATATTAATAAGCCCATAAAGTTGGACAAATATGGTGAGGTAAATGCTTCGACTTCGTTCAGTTCGTTTCAGTTTTAAATCCCAGTTCGTTGCGAACAGAACAGATATTTGAGCAATGGGAAATGCTGGACATTTTGTGGTCGTTTTGCAGGCAGGTGACTATCATCATCATCATGCCAAATTGTTGGAGCATTAGTAATGTGCAGAGGGAAAAATTTGTATCACTTTGTTGTTCCAAAGAAAATTTATTAAGTGAAGAAGATATGAAATTTCAAATGTGATCTGCTTGTATTCATGTGCTAACCATTTATAAGATGTGCTTTAATAAAATGCGAAATTGTATTCAAAAAATGGTATAAAACCCTTAAGTATTGATGAATCAATCTGAAAGATATACAATTATTCCCTGTGTGCCGCCTCATTTGCGAATTGGTCTAGTTGCACAGTTTCGAGCCTAATGCACTTTCGTTTCGTTGACACCAGTTTGTTTGTGGCTCGCTGCAGCAAAGCTGAAATCGTCTGATTATAGGGCTGGTTCTAAGGACTATAATGCCGCTGCAGACAACAATCAATTGCAGGAGGAGGCAATGGAGGTGGCTATGGCGATGGCAAAGACGAATCGCAATGCTCAACCCGCAGTGCAAGTAAAAGTGACAAATGAAGTGGAAAGTGCCCTCAGAATGGGAACAATGATGATGCGGATGAGAAATCGGGGCGGTGAGCGGTGGATGGGATGGCAGACGAACTACTTTGACACACAAATGCCGCTGCTGTCGTCTGGCCTAATGAGTCCCGGCTGGCTGCCAATATTGAATGAGCAGCAGGAGGTGGAGCAGCATCCTGAGCAGGGCCATAACTTGGCCAACGGACCCAGTTCGGTTGAACAGCAATTACTCCGCCTGCAGACGGACTACAAATTGCTGTACAATGCCGAGCATCACACCTATTTCCACCTGCACACCATGCGCATCCCAGAGGACACCATCATCCGACCAGGACCATCGAAATCCGAGGAGCCACCGCATCGCAGGCTGTTCCAGCAGGTCGTGGGCAACACACTGACCGCCGCCTTTGGCCTGAATGTGATGAACAAGGGCCAGGTGGAGGGGCAAGTGGATGGGGGCCAGGCGGAGGTCATCATCACAACCGAACAGGTGAATCTCTACGATGCCGCCTCGCTGCGCCGGTCGCGCTTCAGTCCCTTCAATCCCACACGGTGAGTGCTACGGGTGGAAAGCGACACTTCTATTACCTACTATTTTTGAGTGCCATTTCCAAAGCCGTTTTTGAATTTTGAAAGCCATCTAGGAATATGCTGTTTTTAGGAGATTTAAAGGATTTAAAAAGAAGCTTGTTTAAGTGGGAAAAACACATCCAAGTAATAACAATAACTACATATATGTACATAGATCCCAGAAGTTGTTCTATTCAATATGTACTAATACTTTTTATAAACCCTATTCATGGATTATTGATTTACGCCTTCCATAATTAAAAATATGTATTAAAATATAAGTCCCCAAAATGTATTAACTAAACTCAATCTATTAAAAATAATCTAATAATTTTTAATATTTTTTAGAATTCTCATTCATGGATGGTTGGGCAACGAAAATGCCAATATGTACAGCGCCCTAATACCTGCCTATCTAGATCTCAAGAATGGCAACTACAATATCTTCACCGTCGACTGGGGTCGTGGAGCCATAGCGGACTATATAACGGCCAGCTATAGGGTCAAGCCAGTGGGCAAGGTGTTGGCCAAGTTCGTGGACTTTCTGCACCAAGAGGCGGGACTTCGCTTTGAGGATCTCCAGCTGGTGGGATTCAGCATGGGAGCCCATGTGGCAGGACTGGCTGGGAAGCATCTACAGACCGGTCGTCTTCGGATGATCCGGGCTTTGGATCCCGCACTGCCCTTCTTTCGATATGCCAAGGAAGAGGAGCGATTGACCGCCCAGGATGCCGACTATGTGGAGGTATTGCACACCAGTGTGGGCAGCTATGGCTTCGATCGACCTCTGGGTCATGCGGACTTCTATGCCAATTGGGGCAGCCAGCAGCCAGGTTGTTTTTGGCATGAATGCAGCCATTGGAGGGCTTTTATGCTCTTTGCCGAGAGTCTCTTAAGGGATCGCAATATGGGTTTCTTATCCCAGGGCTGTCCATCTGGTGAATGGCAGCAGTTGACCCGCTTCCGCCGCTGCCCAAAGGATACGGGAATTATCCAGACCATGGGCGGTGATTTGGCCAACGTTTCGGCGGATTTCTTGGCCCAAAGACAGGGTGTCTATTATTTTCAAACAAACGACCAGCCACCCTATGTTTTAGCACAAAATGCCAGTTCGCAAAAGGGTGGCACAAATAAATAAAGAGAGAAATGGCTGAGAGAACGTAATGAGCAAAATGCAAGTGCAGTTCGCGTTTTTATTTCTAATTAGTAAGTGCATGTGTACTACACACACTCATGTGGGTGTATTTGTGTTGTCCCATTTCTAAAAGCCGGCTGGCAAAATTAAAAAATGCTGCCATGTGTAAAATGCTTTTCATGCCAGTCGCAGGCAGTAAAAATAGCAAAAAAAAAAAAACAGAAAAGGGAGTAAAATTTATGAAAACATCCATGCAGGAAATATAAGGACGAACACAAGAGCCGTGTGTAGTTCAGTCTGGAAAATCAACTAGAAATAGGTATGACCAAAAAAAAGGGCCCCAAAACTAATCCTCTTTAACGAGACAACACAGATGGAAAAATATTAAAATAAAGTATAAAGTGCAAACAGTATTTGGATTTCCTAGAGCTTAAATTAAATTAGAAAAATATTTATTTTAATTAAGTTGAAATCGTGTTCTTCTAAATTTAATTAAAATACTATATAAATTTTCGCAAATTGAAAAATAAACTCCCTTTAAAAATAAAGTCCAAGAAATATTTGTTTTTTAAAACAAAGTGAAGCCTCTTCTTTTCTGTAAAACTGTACCTCCTAAAAATTTTATTTAGCACCACCTGTTTATTAAAGATATTAAAGTAGGAATAAATAAATAAACTTCTTATAAAAGTTTCCTGATAGACCCGAGCTGAAAACAAAGAAAACTTCTCGTGAGTCCCATTAAAATTTTAGTCTGCATGCTGGTATCATAAATTCAAAAACTTGGCTTAGCTCGCAAGTCAAGGTTTAATTGGTTGGGGCAATAGCACACTCCTCCAGAAGACATAGCACACTTTGGGGTATTGAAGCCTTGGATCTTAAATCTTAAATCTGGCCAAAATGTCGCACGGCTGCCGCTAATGTGATTTTTACGCACCATTTGAGTGAACAGCCAGCAATTGGCCAAAGGGCACAACGGCAATGAAAACTTGGCAGCTGCGGATGGATGCCATTGAAAATAACGTGAACAAATATTGGCAAAGCAACACAAATATTGCGCACAACATTCCCTTGAGTTAATAAAGAATAAAGGAATCGCAAGGATATTTATTTAGAACATTCTTGAATTAACTCAAGTATATTTGAATTCATTTTTCCAAGAAATTGCATACACAAAGTGTTTGCAAACTCGTCTGCTAATTTTCTTTTTTAGTTGAATGCGTTTGTCTGACTAGGAAAAGGCTATGAAAATATTTAAATACATTTTATGAAGTTTGCTTACAATGTGCAAGTTTAGCTTTCAAGTACTTTAAATGTATGTGAAAAGTTTGATGTAATTCTAAGCAGGTTGTCTTAAAAGTTAGTTCGTTTAATGGCCATCCGGAGAAGTTCACAAAGTTTAAATAATTCTATAATGTTTCCGATTTGAGGTGATCATATTTTCTTACCACAAAATGGTCTCTAAATAATTCATTTTCACAGAACTTGGTTTAGTTTTAACTTAGTTAGTTATGTTTGCACTGAATTGAATATTTTCTCTTCACTGGCTGCCCAAAACGAATTTGCAATCATTCGTTTTAGCTTTATTACTTGCAGCAGCAATAATTGAATGAGCTTGAGACAGGCCGAGAGAAATGCACTTTGAGAACGGAGAATTAAAGTTTTTTTTCCTTGGTTAACTGGTCTGATTATTTCCTTACGGGCAGACAAAAGAATCGAGTGGAAAACGAATCGAATAAAACCCGTCGACTGTTGCCAGTTGTGCACTGCAAAGCAAACTGAAAATGTTCTCAGCCAAATGGAAAGACTGCGAAAAAAAAGAATGCAGAAAAGATGGCTAATTTGTGTCGCGTCTTCCAGCGAAGGGTTGAGAATCCGGGGCGTATATATGATGAATGGAGGGGTGGAGAGGCAGCGGCTTTGGATGGAGGTTATTCTGGGAAGCCTATGAAATGTGGCCCGCACTTGAGCCAAAGAGTTGACGCACAAACTGCAGCAACACTGAGCTGAAAACCCGAACGGAAAACTGAGCTGAGCCCTCAGACAATGCATTCCTAATTCCTGCCAGAGGGTGGGGAATCGACAGGAGATGGGCGTGGTAAGTACCTCCCAGTAGTACACACACAAAAAAATATAGTTTAGATATTTTAATAAATTTATAAAGTAATAAATTAAAGCCAAAGACAGATTTTAGCTTCATAAATCATCTGAAACCGTTTTTAATGAAATATGAAATAGATTTCTAATGCTAAGTCCTATCTTTTGCCTTCTAAACTTATGGTTTTGGTTAAGACAAAGGTTCTAAAAATTCCTATAAATTCAGGACATAAATATTCTTCGTCTAGAGCCAACCTATTAAATCTAAAATGTTTTCTGTGTAGAAAGAGTTTAGTGCTTAGCTGTCTGTTCTTTTTTGGACTGGCAGCACATCAAACCGAACTGAATGCAAGTCCCTGGGAAGCAGTCATAAAGTGTCGCGTTCCGTGCTTCCGTTCCGGTTACCTCTTTCCGCCCACTTCCTGCTTCCCCACCCACGTGTCCCGTTACCTGTTCAACCCACTCACACCCCTCTTAACCCGCAATGGCTTCCGGCACACGCACCCAAACGGACGGATAAGTTCGCCAGCTGTTTGTCTTCGGCTGAAAGCGCATATTACTTTGGCCACAAGCAGCTCTTCTTGCAGTAATAAGCACCCGGATTAGCCGAGCTATTCATCTGCTCATCTCAAGGGAAAACCATCCTGCAGGAGCTCTTGGTTCTGGGAATCTTACGTAACCGAAGCAAGTGTATTGACAGCCCCCCTCGGTACACAGAGCTGCTCTTGAGGCTCTTAGGAAATCTTGAGCTTAAATTTGTAGTGCACGTAAGTCTGAGATGGATAATTATAATACTACTTATTTTCTAGAAATTTATTTTAATTTAAAAATTAATCTTTAAAATGTAAGTCTTAGAAATTAAACTATCATTAAGCCAGCTACGTATCATATTAAATCGTAAGTGAACTCTTTAACTTCCAAAGATCTTACTTTGCTTTGCCATGTATTCCCACTTTGTGTTTTTCGAAAGATTTCAGATGTAAAACACAGAAATTAAAGTATCTACCAGATACTATCTAGAGCAATGAATTTTCTTTTTAAGTCGCAACTTAACTCTGATTTTAGTGCACAAAATCTGGTGCTGAAACTGAAGGGGAACCTCTGAACCTCTTTCTGAATGGAGGGCAACCAATGTTTGACAAGATTGTGGTAAAAATGGAAAAAAACACGCTTCGCTTCCATGTGGGTGTGAAAAGATGCCCGACAAAAGCAACAGCAGGTGGCCTTGAGAGGTGGAAAACTGGGTGGGTGGGGCTCTGTTGTCAACACACTCAGTTGGAGGTCCTTGGTCCTCGGTCCTCCGGTTAGGTGACCAACGGAACGTTTATTTAATTGAAAGGTCAGTCTGCAGGATACAGTTGCCTAAACCGTTTTAAGGGCGGCAAAGGGAAGCAGAGCCGCAAAAAGTAGATGGAACAAAAGGTTGATTAAAGGGAAAATAAAGACTACAATGGAAAGTGGGGGAAGGATTAGATGCACGAATGGTTTTCAATAGAAGTGGAAATGGTTGAATTCCCCTAGATATTGCCAGCGAGATGACAGAATAAGTGAAAATAATGTTATCCAGTTAATGAAAAGAAAATACTTTCAGACAAAAGGATTCCAACTATTATGGATTTTAATAGAATTTTCTTAAGGTAGTTCCACGAATAGGACTTTCTTAGCACTTGGGTTCCAAAGAATTTGTTCCTCCAAGGTGTTTTATTATGTAAGCATCAGTCTTAGGTAAATATCTTATGAAATAGTCTGATGAAATAAACTTGGATACAGGTTCAAGAGAAAGATACTGACTTTGTGGATTGTTAATAACAACAATATATATATTAAGCTACCCACTCAAACTAAAACTCAAAACACATTTAAATCCACCAAAACTAGACCAGTATTTTATAAAAGAAAGAAAAGATTGCTGAAAAATCGTCACTATAGGTCAATTCAATGGATGGTTCGTATAAAAAAACTGCACTAAAAACTCAAACCACTTCGGGCCCAAGTTGAGGTAACTATCAAATCAAACTAGCAGGTAACAATTACATCATTTTGCAGACAATAACGAATGGAACAAGGACTTTGGGTTTTCGTGGGGGTAGGACGGTGCACTTATATCCAAAACTCACTCAAACAATTAGCTCAAAAGGCGGGGCGGAGGTCGGGGGGTGTGACTCACAGCGCGTCGCCGTCAACTGAAGCCCTATGAAAAAGTTTCAGTTTTTGCGCAAACAAATTGGATTATTCGATTACGTGTTTGTACAAGCGCATTGAGGAGGTTCAGGGGGTTGTTGGCTGGGGGCCGAGGTGAGGAAAAACCAGGTGAGTTGCCGGTGGGGGGGGGGGGGGGGGGGGGTGGCTTCAGGTGGGCTGAGGTTGGATTGTAAAGCGGCCAAGGGAACAAGTTTTTAAGGGCACCGCTGGGGTTGGTTTTCTCTTTTTTTCATAGGGGCTGCAGTTCTCTTGTTTGATTTTGATTTATTTGGCATTTGTTTGCCAATTGGCAAATGTTTGCGAATCCATAGAGAGCGGGAATGTAATCTATAATAGATTGACTCCATCTTCATTCTATGGAAAATCCAAAAATTTTCTATATATATACTCTTTTCTGCAGAAACATTTTTGTTATAACATTCTGATATATGGAATAAGATTTTTAGTAAATTTTTGGAAAATAATTTTTTTTGTTGGTTATTATAGGTTAAGACAAGTAAAAAAGTGTGTTTCAGGTTAATTACAAGTAAAATTCATTGCTGAAAAATTTAAATTCGATTAATTAAACACTACTTGAACTAGAAATTCACTAAAATTACTTTTCGAGAGACTAAAAAGTATCACATTTCGTGTCCGAATTTAAAACTTCTGCATTGGTGAACTTTAAGGGTGCCTAAAAATAAAACCCAACCAACTGACCGGCACCCAAATTGAAAGTCAATATAGTGAACAGTTGGCAAACACCTCGTGCTGCCAGCAACTGAAATTTATTGTTACAAACTGGCTTAATTGCTGGCCAACGGTTGGAAGGGGCTTTTCAAATTCTACCCGACTCTTTCTAAGCCTTTATTGAACGAGTAGAACAGGGTGAATTGTGTGGGATGTCTGGGCACTTTGATTGCTTGCTTTTAAAATGAATTTTATATAGTGGCTTTGGCCAGGTGTTTGACATTTGTGCAATATGTGGATAGTGCTCTTATTTATTTTGCCCCTTTTTTTCTGTATTTCTTGTTCGCAATGAGCGGCCCGCAGCTGTCAGTGTGTCTGTCAGACGGTGCGTATGAGTGATTTTTAATTTAAATTCAAATCAAACAAAAGGCAAGAGGCCAGCACACAAGTAATAGGCATATCCTTGCCTTAATGAATCTCAAGGAAGCCCGCAGCTATGGAAAACCCAAAAATCAACAAACTACTGGGGAAAATGGCGCAGAAAGGGCGTTCGAGTAAAGTGTGAAGCACAAAAGTTTGGGGGCTAAGGAACAACATGTGCAAGTTATGTACAATCGATAAACTCGAGCTCCGTATATATTTTTTGCTGACTGGCTGACAATTAACCCCTTACGTGCCAATTGGTTGCTAAATAAATTAACCCACACACAGGCAAACGAACGCATCGTTGCCAACAACAAAGTCAGCAGAATTGTTGCCATTTTAATTGGCCCAGCCGACGCCTTGAAGTCGGTCATAAAAAAGTTTACTCACAGTCAACTTCAAAGGCTTTAACGGAAACATAACCTTAATGTAAAACGCCTCAAGACTTGGGTAAACTTGAATGGCCCTTGCAAAGTAAGGTAATTAAATTAGGCTTTTTGTTTACGTTTTCCCCAACGCCCTTTTTCTGCAGTTTTGTTCGCAAGGTAATGAAAATTAATCAAGCATACGCCATGTGTGCAAGGAATGGTCAAAAATGGGGGAAGACTTTAAAGGTAGTATTAAATTTAAGATTATTATAGTAATTATAGTCGTTATATTTATTTATAGATATATAAATTTCAGTTTATAAAGCGATATAATAATATGTTATACCCTTTTTTAAGAGTTAAAATAAATATCAACTCCCAAAGATCCCAAAAGAACTCGGAAAAGTTACTTTACTTACCATTCAAATGAAAAGCCGTACCCCCATATGTATATGTCAGATTTCCTTGGTTTTTTTCCCGTTTTGTTAAGCAAAGATCCTGTCCTTTCACCCACACAATTCGGATTGAACGGTCCTACATTATAATTCATTGAACAGGCAACGCGATTTTTGGCATTCCTTAACTGAGCTGCAATTCCCCGGAAAGGAACATGAATGAAAAAAAAGAGAGAGAACCCCCGTCACTTTTAACAATGACATTCGGTGACCCCACAGTATAGCCCCTCTTCCTTTTTCGACCCCCTCTGAGGGCAAACATTGTGCAAAATGTGCATATGCCACAGGGCTTCTGTGAGTTCTCTGAGCTCCACAAACTTTCCCCACCGCAATTTCTGTCGTTTGTTGGCATTTTACTTCCCCAGTCTCACTCCTCGCTTCCTCTGTCACTTTTTTATTTACTCTGATTTTTATACATGAGTTTGTATTCCATTCCATGTCATACGCATACGGTAACGAACAAAGCACTTGGGGAAAAAATTAAGCAATTTAAAACCGAAATGTTTTTCTTTATTGCTGGTAAAAAAAACATATCTGTACGCGAAATAACCAAATAAACCCATCGATTTACACTAATTGTTTGATTGTTGTCAGCATGAAATGGTAGTTTAATTGTTTTCACTTAATGCCAGTGAAATATTTTAAATGCTCTGTTTGCTTTCTTCCAGGAGATAATTACTTTAGCTTTTTAAAGGCAAGCAGCAGCAGAAAGATCATAGGCTTAAAGTTTAAAATGGAATCAGTAATGTAAAAACCCCATAAAACGAATATGTTTACTTTAGCAGCCATTAAAGCCAGACATTTAAAAATTATTATGGTAATGGCCACTCGAACTTTAAACAAAGCTAAACTCAACTTCAATGTTTTACTTTCCCCCCTGGGGAGGCTGAAGTAAACTTTTGTTTCGGTTTTTATTTTATATACCAATTATAAAGGCCGCATGAGCTGCTGCCAAAGGCGAAAACCAAGTTCAAGCTGGCTTATCCCCATCACCTTCACTTCGGGATCCCCTACTCTCCAAGCCACTCAAAAAAAGTTTGATTAAATTTTTATTTGAATTTGTACTTTTAAAGTTTGCCTTTAAAGTTTCCACCTCCCCAACGAACGCCACATAATGAAACGATAACGAATTTAATCCGAGTAGGTGAAGGGATGGATTTTATGAATATGAATAATTCGATCAGAGCTTAAAACCGCTCTGTGGCGGCCGCCTTTCATTACCCCTTTCTTATATTTAATAATAAATGGGCTTAATTATGCTTAAGGTCCCCAAAGCTTACCCGGCATATAGAGAAGTGGCGTTCATCTCCGATACTGACCTGCAAAAGACAAAGAGCAGAGTGGGAAGGGAAATACGATTATAATACGGTCAATTATAAGTTTTTAGATCATCTAAAGTCTATAACGGGGGAAAAGCTAAAGATAACGACGAAAAACAGCAACACGAGCAACAACTTCAACTACGTTTAACTAGGAAATTAAGTTGTCTGTTTATTTATTACAACAGCTTACGGGGTAAAGTCAATTCTAATTTTGTTTTTTGCTGTAAATTGCATTTCCCTTCGAGGGTTAGACGATATCCCCGGGCCTCAGGGACAGGGGGACGGATAGAGTGAGTGGAAAATCTGCACAGTTGATAGGTAAAGCGGAAAAAAAATATACGTAGCGAAAAGGACGAATATAAAATGTAAAAGCGGAAGTTTAAGTTTTTCCTTTTCAGACACGGTTGAAGGTTGATCAACGTTCAGGGGTCGGATGTTTGTCGGATGGTGTCCATCAAAAACTCGGAATGAAAGTAGCATAAAACCATATCAAACGTCAAGTTGAAGTGGAAGTTTTCGCGGGAATAAAATCAATCCGTCATGCCATCCAATATGAGCAATTCATCAACTGAAGATGATGACATGCAAACGAGTGATGAAATGATAATCAGAATTTTGTTAAAATGTTCAGCAAAAGAAACTTCATCCAGTTGGTTGACCTAATTAAGGATAAACCTAATTTTCAATTGTCTCTGTTGGTATAAAGATTATAATCTTCGTCAACTGACGGTAAGTTATTATAAATGCGGCAAGGAAAACTTGTCAGCTTAGTTGCCAAAAAAGTTTTCTAAGCTTCTGCCAAGAAAATGCGTCTGCAAAAAGATTTTATGAGAAACAGTTGACAGTCTGAAGCCAAAGGCTGAAACAAAACAAACTTAAAGAATATTGTGAGTTTTTATGTTTAAAATGAAAAGAAATTCTTAAATCGGGGTTGTTTGAACTAAATGTTCTTAAGAAGTGCCAATTTTATACTCAAAACTTTGCCAGACATGATATTCTTAGACGATATTTTCAATACTAATTACTCCATACTTTTATCAACAAAAATTGGATGGGACTAGTGAAATTGTGTTTGGGGTAATCTCTTTTTTCTGCCACCATGTCCCTTTCCTTTTCTACAATCAATATCACACTTTGACACAAGTTTCATTAGAGAACATATTGATCCTGGGGAAGCAGAAGTTATCCTTCGGCCCGACACGAGATGAACAAGAAGCGAAAAGGACCAAGTGACGAGATGCACGTGCCAAAAGTCTCAAGTTTAGCTGTTGCTGTGGCTACTCACAAAAAATTCGCCCAAGGCGTTTCGAAGGGAAATGGGAGAAAAGGGACGTGGGGAAAAGCGGAGGTGGTATGTGGAAAATTGAGGAAAAACCGAGTGGGATGAGCAAAGAGATGACGACAGCTTGGGCTTGTCATGGTAAACGCGACGTGAGCGTTTGCTTGGCCTTTGGCAAGTTTCTTATTGCATGCATGTGGTGCAGAAAAAGCGGCAAAAGGAGAAAACCGGGTGGTGGCGAAAAAAATAGTGTTGCATATTTATGTGCGCCCCAGCCAACGGACCGTTTGAAGGCTTTTGTAATTAAAAAAGCAAAAATCTGTACCCCAACCAAGCACCTGCCCCTATACAGTGAAAATGGCTTAAAGAAAATATAATATAATACTAGTGGAGACATTGGTTCTAAGCAAAAACCTTTTATATTTCAATATTATTGGGAAAAAATTTGGTTACTGTAGCTTAAGAAGTTTGGGCTCTGTGTTGAAACGGTTTTTATTTAAACAATCTTTTATAAACGTTTAGAAGTTATAATTTGTAATATGTGCACAAATATTTTGGTAAACTTCTGAACTTTCGAATAAAACAAAACGCACCATTTGCTTAATAAACTACATGACTACAACCCTGAAAATTTTAAAAACTACACCTTAAAATCCATTAAAATAAACCCCAGGAATACACAACTTTAGTTAAGCTTACGAAATTTATAACAAAAATCTTGCTCGGCATTTGAGAGACTCTACTGTAAATCCTTTGCCTTTTATGTGGATGAGTTTCCATTTTGCAGTGGCGCCAGTTGGGGGGCGGGTGCTGTTGGTGGGCGTGGCTGAAGGATGGAAGAGTCGCAACGCTTAAGGATACTTGTGCAAGATTTATGATGTGTTAGTTTTTTTCGAGTGGAGTTCCTCGCACAACATGCATATGCATATGCTCAAGCATGCAATTTCTGTTTTCCACTGTTTCACCCTCGGTTTTTTGCCCCCTGCTTTTTTCTCTCGCCTTTCTCCGCATTTGGCAAATGGCGCTCAATTTTTTAATGACCGCGCCGGAAATGTGGAAAATGTCTGCGTGTCTGTATGAGTGAGTGAGTGTGAGCGTGTGTGTGTGCGGGTGTCACTTTGATTTATGAACATCGGCCTGGCATCCGACAGATTTTGTCATTTTCAGATGTCGCTCTTTGTGGTGGAAAGTGCGCTTTTAGGCGGTCGCAAAAGATGAAAATTATTTTTAATGGTCACAGCCATGAAGTGTCCTTCTCCTACCACTTCTTCGGATATTGATACGTAAGCCCTTCTCGCGTGAAGCACTTAAACTGTATTTACGCACATGCGTCCATTAATCAAACAATTTATCAAAACATGTCATTTGGAGACGGGTGACTCTGAGCAGGGGAATGTTCGATGCTCGACTACTTCTTCCATTATCGAGCAACCGAACCGGAAGGAATCGACTTGTGGGCTCAGATTGCTGGCATCGTGTTGGAGCTGTCAATCATGATGATGACAACGATCGTTCATGGCCGCACTTCCTGGAGCCAATTATTGGCAGTCAAGTGCAAACAAATACACAAAAACACAAAGAAAAAATATTCCATATGCCTATGAAGTTTTTATTATCATTAAAACGTTGTATAAAATTATTCATTACTAACCTAACCAAAACAAAATTCTTAAAAATGTATAAAAAATAATTTTTGGAAATAATGAAAATGAGTTTTTAATTTTTTCAAGTGTATTTGGGGTAAATCCAACTAAAGCCTTAAAGTATCTCAGCCATATTTGCGTACATAAGCAGCTGCACCACCGAGATGGCTTTAGTTCACCAGGAGCGGCAACCAGGACTCACAAAGTCGGAAAGAGGTTAATAACAAGGCGTTCATACGCACTCAAAGGATAAGAAACGTAGGGAGATCTTTAGTGGGGCCAGGACCCTCTTGTGTGCCCTTACTTACACCAGGATAATGCAAAGTTTGTGATAATGTTTGAACAAAAAGAGCACGCAAACAAGACGAACGAAGGACTAGTGGCATAAAAGGATATGATAGTGTAAGCAGGCATTTAACCTCTCACAAGTAGAGCCATCCATCAAAAGATTGGCTTTCACTCCATTGATGGTGGGGCAAATATTTAAAGTGTATGTAAGTGTGCCAATTAGTTTAAGAAGAAATGGATCAAATGGCGCACAAGTATTTCATTTTGTTATAAGAACTTATTGGAATACTTATATCACATAATAAAATAATTAATTTCATCAGTCTTAATTATGAAATCCCACAGCTTAAGTAAGTTCCTCCTTGTTTTTACCCACGCATTTGTAAGATATCTTCAAAACTGAGAACTTTTCCCTTTTAAGCCAACTTTTGGCTTCATTTTCATAAGAGTATTCGGTGACTGTTTCCAGTCTCTTCTCGTTTCCCGTTTTCCCGGTTTCTATTTAGAAAACATTCCCCCGTCAGTGCCGCCGGATGATGCTTGGCATTTTCCTATTTTCCATCTCTCAGCATCCGCTTTGCATAGTGGGGGAAATTTAAAGCTCACTTCTAGGGGCTGCTCAAGAGGTTTCCTACATTTTGGCAATTCTTATATCGCATTTGGCATGGTTGAGTGGGTGTGCGTGCTTCTTACTTATGCATGTGTGTCAAAGCCATGCAAAAGAATACAAAACAAAAAATGTAGATATGGCATACTTTTTGGATCGCACTCAGACACACTCCTTTTAAATCAGCATTCATTCATTTTTACGGTCTCTCAGGTTTTTTTTACTTCTTGTGCCAGCACGCCTTCTTCACATAATTGAATTTTTATGACCGAGGCGACAAGTCGAGGAACAAGGAGCCAAGAAAACGTAAGGAAAAGTAAGAACAATAAACCAAACAGTCATAAAATAACCATAAATCCAAATTTTTGAAAGCGCCTAGACCGCGTAGCACAATGTTTTTTATTAGCTGCCATAATCGAAGTTCGGTGTTCGAGGCTCGAAGTTTCCCATGTGTCCGCTTACTGCGTCCAAACATGCGACATTTCCGATCCGCAATTGCAGCACAAATTGCAACTGCAATTGCAGTTCGAGATTTACTCAATAATACACGGGGAAAATTGGGGGCTTGATTAGTGAAGTATATAAAATATAAAATCGGGGGTATCTTACAAATCTAGGGTTTTAAAATCACTTACACTTTTAATTGTTGGCGTCCAAAAGTATGCAACAATAATTTAAAGATATGAATTTATTACGCAAGACGACTATAATTTATTCACTGCATACTTTTAGACACTTATTATAACATTTAAGAGAGATTTTAAAGGTCTTTTAGACACTCCATTGGTGTTCTAACATATTTAGTAATTGTTCTGAAAATAATGGGACATATTTAAAACAAATTTAATTTAAGAATTTTTTTTTTCCGATACCTTATACAGTTTTTCCATTGCAATTTTTTTTTTAGTCTAAACTTTAGCCGTCTCGCCCAAAAAAGGCATTTCCTGGCAATAAAAGTCCGGCACGTTGCAATTTCCACTGCAACAGCACACACAGTGCAATGAACTGGAGGCCCGGAGACAACAGAACGGCAAACTTTTGAACATGGCGTGATTTGCGCCTAAAAGTATGCACCAAACTGCAAGAACAAAGCAGCCCGATAAGCAGGATAACCAGACAGTTGGCGGTGGTAGGGGGTCCAGGGGGCGGAAGGATAATGGTTAGGGGGCGGAGATGGTCA